GCAAACCGAAGGTGCGACTTTTTCTGTTTTATCCAGTTTTCACCGAACACAGTTATTCTTGTTTTTGTTGTTGCTGTTTGTTTTTGTAGTTTTTTTTTTTTTTTAAGTAATTTGAGGTGAAACCTGAAACGGTTACTCAACAGGTTGATGCTAGGTAAGCAATGACTGAGGGCAGTTGATGCTACCAAGCTGCTTCGCAGGCCTTCAGAGGGTGAGCGACCCGAGCTTTTCTCCCAGAATGCTGTGCGCTTCTGGTTTGGAGTTCAGTGAAATTATGGAACATTCTTTTAGATGGGATATCTATTAATATTGATCGCCTTTCTACAGTGATATTGTTATTGATTTATTGCCCAGCCCCTAATATCTTCAGTGATTCAGATTTTATGTGGATTCTTCATCCAAATGAGTCAAAATAACACTTTTTAATTTAACATAATAACAGTGAAATAAACTTTGTTGGATTTTTGGAACTTGGCCTTTAAAAAAAAAAAAAAAAAAAAAAGAACAAGAGATCAGGTGTGAAAAGAAAATCTCGTCTTCTTGTTCAGTGTGTGAAGACTATGAACATTATCTATTTGACAGTTGCTACTGTAGTTTAAGTTGGGTGACTTTGCCATGAAACTGTTGTTCAATTCCTTTGGAAAACCAGAGCATGCATCAGAAAACACCTGCATCCACAAATCACCAGAAGAACCCTGGTTATATCTGCTGGAAGACAACTTCTATTTTAGAACAGAATCAGCTTCTGGTAAAGTACTATGCATATTTCTCAAAAAGAATAAGGTGAAATGGTCCACAGTAAAAATTCCATCTCCTAGACACAGTTTTACCTTGAAACTGTCTTCAAACAAAGATTTGTGAAATATTCTGTCAAGTTTTTTTTTTTTTTTTTTTTCAGTTAAGGAATGTTCACGCGATATAAACATAACCAACAGGTAAAAACCCAATATAACAGTTTCTTGTTGATGCAAAGTTTTCTTCACAGTATATCAACTTTGCCACAGCCTCTGCCCTTTGTTTGAAGAAAGAGTTGAAGTGACCCCAACTCCACCTCCAATCACCTCGTCACTGAGATCTTATGGACTGGAGCCAATCACAAGGCTGACTTCTAAACTTAACCATTTATATTAGCCAATCACAAACAGAGTTTAACTCATATTTGAGCTTTGTTTGTCTATTAACCCAGAATGCAGACCACGAAGCTTTGGAGATGGAGCTGCTGTTTATGATTCTTTTGATCCTCTGCAAAAACAGTAAGTGTTGGTGGTATTTTTCAGGTTGTTTGACTCTTACAATAGTGAATATTTAGAATTATAAATATTTTAAGCCTTTGCTTTCTGATACAGGTGACATGCTCTCTACCAGCAACGCCTCAGATATGAATCAGCAGACTGGGATTAGGACAGCTACAGTTGGAGAGACAGTGACTCTAGCCTGTTCCTGTAAGCATGATTCTGCATATTACCTCCTTTGGTTTCAACAAAGCCCAGGTGGGAAGCCTCACATCGTATCAAAGTGGATGAGGCAACGCACGGAAGTTGAAATTCCCCCTGCATACAAAAAAAGATTTCGAGTTGTTGCAAACTCCACTAATGACGTCAACGATCTGACGATCTCAAATCTTCAGCCTTCGGATTCAGGGACGTATTACTGCGCTTCTCTGAGATCCGTTGGTCTCGTGTTTGGACAGGGAGTATTCCTCCATGTCAAGACATCTCCATCAAAAAACACAAAGTTGCTCTTTCATCAACCAAAACTGAAACTCCTGCACCTCGGAGCGTCTGTGACCCTGAGCTGCAGGATCTACGTCGAACCCTGTGCAGCAGAGCCAGCAGTTTATTGGCTCACACATGTCGGGTTGAAACCCGCACTCCTGCATCCCAGTGACAGTCACTGTACAAGCGGCTTCAACGGCACATTTCGTGGTAAATATTGCACTTCCTACCTCGTGCTTGATCTGGTGAGGCCCTCAGATGCAGGAACCTACCACTGCGCTCTGGCTTCCTGCGGTTTGGTTGTTTTTGGAGAGGGAACAAAGGTAGAAATTATAGGTATGTGGTCTGGTCAAAGCAGCTTTTCAACCAGATTAAAAGGAATTAAAGCCGTTTTGTTTTACCAAACATTAACGCAAGTACTTTTTTTTTTTTTTTACCATCCCCCATTGTAGTCCCGCTTCTCCTGGTGTATTGTCTGAGTGGAGCTCTGGCACTATCTACCATCGGGGTCTTTGTTTTATCTTCCTTCATGTGCAAGCTACGTTTAAAACTCAAAGAGCACCTGTGAAGGTGAGAGCATGAAATATATGTAAATAATCTCTGCATCAGCCTGACACCATGGCTGGTGTACAAGTTTACAGGACATCCTTTGTTTTGCAGGACTTGATCCCAATGAGAGATTTCCTTCAACCAGAACGGCCATTCAGCAGAAATATTTCAATAATGCGCTTTCCTTAAAAGCCCCTTATAAGTACAGTTGTTCTTATTCCTAGTTACTGGTAAATTTACTGTATTATAGCTGTCCAAATACAACCATGTCTCAGTTTTTTTTTTTGCTTTCATGCTGATCTCCTTTTTCTTTTGCTCTAAAACTTCTTTGACCAGATCAGTTTCACTCACTTCTTTCTGCTTCACTTTCAGTTTCCTTCATTTCATTGTCTTCTACACTATTTCGTCACCACATTTTCAACTTACTTGTTACTTTTCAACAAGTTTTCACGATGACAAGTGTTTCTGGTTCAGTTTATTTCTGTGAACTGACTGTCATTCACAGTGTGTTTGTTGCAGAATATAAAAATGTTTCTAGTTTTACAGCAATTTCCACTTTTTCCACTCATAGCAGGAGCGTGAGCAAGGAAGTCTCCATTATGCTGCAGTGACTCTGAAGAGGAGCAAGGAACAGCGGCTTCGAGGGGACCTAGAAGAGACTTGTGTTTACTGCAGAGTAAAGAGTCCAAAGCACTAGAAGTCTGAAGCAGGAAAACGACAACTCACACGATCGATTTAAACCTGTTTGAATGTGGGGCGATGTTTAACTAATGAGTACTGCAAGTGCAGCATCGCTTAAGGAAAAACAATAAAATGTCAAATGAACTGAAATAGCAACGCTGAAGTTTTATGAATTTCCCCTTCAGTCTGTTTGATGACAGTCTCCAAACCGCACTGTGTGACGGTGTCAGCTGTTTGGCCCTCCACTGCTGTGGTGAAGGTGTTTTTACTGCAAACAAGTTTCCACTGGTGGAAACTTAAACTCCAAACACGAAGACTGGACCTTCTGTCCACACCACTGAGATATTCAGGCCTTGAATTAACCTGCTATATATTTAGTGATTGGTAAAAGGTTTCCCTTTCTTCTTTCCCATGTTACAAAAAAAAAAAACAATAACAAAAAAATAACTTTCAGGATTTTATGTAAATGTGTCTTAAAAATAGGCTTAAAGCTATAAAATACTTTTAAGACTATTTCATAGTTTAGAGGGAAGAAACAAATGATGAAAATGACTCTATGTCTGTTGAGCAGTTATGAAGGTGAGACCTGGAATTGCAAGAACAAGTTCAGATCAACATCAACTGTGGTTTCTTTAGCTTCAGTGCAACAGAATAACCAAACTGCACCAAGAAGAACAATCAATCACAGACGACTTAAATAAAGGAGAAAATGGGGAACCCCCCCAAAAAAAAAAACATGATGTGAAATACACAACTGCAAAAGGTCAGCAAACAAGAATATTAAATTAACCACAGAGCTAATGAATCTTGGTCGAGCATTAATGGCAGACCAGCTGGTTTCAGTAGCTTGTCTTACAAATTAGAGGCGTGCAGATCAATCGGCCACCGATCATGATCGGCCGATTTCTGTGAAAAAGTGATCACTTGAACACTGATCACCTGTATCTCATTCGCAGCCTGCATGTGCAGCTGCACAAGCGCACAGCAGTAAAAGTAATATTTCACCGTTCCTGCTCCACCCGCTGTGAAATCTCATACCGAACCTCTGCTTGAAGCTGCAGCGTGCAACTTAAAAAGAGAAACCTTTGCTATCCTAACACGAGACAGATGATCTCTGAGACAGTAATTAATCTCCTCTGCCTCCTGAATCACTCTGCTCTGTCAGAAACAACCTATCAGAGCCACCATTAACCAGCTGGTCAAGCTATCAGAAAGGATTGTTTATTGTGACGCAGTCTGTGTTTGACTTTGAATGAACGTTTGCTTTTCTACTTGACATTATTTGATATATGTAGATTTATTTGACTCATGTATAATTTATGGCACTGAGAGCCTTACTGTTAAATATTATTTTACTGATTGCAGGCATTTCAGTTGTCCTTTTGACTGAATAGCTGCTGTATTGTGCCTGTAAGTATTTTGCATGTTTTATGCCTGAATTAGGGGAATTTATTGCCAGATTATTCTTTAATTTTGTCAAATCACATAGTATGGCAAAAGTTACGTAATGGAGCTTTAACATAGTTAATTAAAAGGAACTCAAACTATAAAAGACCATAAAAAATGAAAACAACTGAAAGTTATTTCATGTTTGTGTATGACCTATTGTTAGCAATGCAGTACAGCTATGCTCAACAGGAAGTTAGAATAGAAGCCATTGCAGAAAGACAAAGAATGTTTTACTCACTGTCCTTGTGAAATAAAGAGAAACAATCACCCATACAAAAAATAAAATGAAACAATATTAACAGAAGAACATGTAACGCTTCTCTTTATGCAACCTCGATATGAATGAGCAAAGCGCTGACATTTACAGACAAAATAGAAAAAGCTCCACATGTCAAACTTTCTGTCCTCCAGTCACAAAATGGGCAGAACTGAACTGATCCGATTCCACCTCCGGTCGTCTGACGTACCAGATCTTCTAAACCTGAACGAATTGTAAGCCTGGTTTGAAATGTAGCCACTCGTCTTAGCCAATCACAGGCAGCCTTAGTCTTCTTCTAAGAGCTCGGGGGCATCTGTGTACTCAGAATACAGTCTGCATAACTGCAGTGATGGAGCCACTTTACATTCATCTCCTGCTTCTCTGTGAGTATTGACCAGATATGTAGTTGTGTTTCTTTGTGGATTAGTATCATTCTGAAGAAAATAAAAGACGATTTTTACACAAGTAAATCAAACATTGTTATGCATTTCTTCTACAGGCAAGGTGCTTAATGTTTTGAACACATTAGATATTATTCAGGATTCTGGAGTTCGGACAGCTAAAGCTGGTGAGACAGTGACTTTACCATGCTCCTGTCAGCATAATGCCATCACTTATCTTTACTGGTACTACCAAATCCAGGGAGAAAAACCTCGTATCATATCAAAACGGATGAAGCACGACCCGGAAGCCGACATTTCCCCTGCATATAAAGAAAGATTTCGAGTTCTTGTGAAGCCCAACGCTGGCGTCAATGATCTGATGATCATGGATCTTCAGCCTTCGGATTCAGGAACGTATTACTGCGCGATGTTAGAGTTCAGTGCCATTGAATTCGGACGAGGAGTTTTCCTCCATGTCAAGACATCTTCATCGAACGCTCAGCCGTCCAAACAACAGCCAACGCTGAAGAAGGTTCTAAGACTCGGGGACTCTGTGAATTTGAGCTGTAGCGTGTCTGCTGAGCCCTGCGAAGGGGAACGGAACCTCTACTGGTTCAGACGTACCGCCTCCCAACCGCCACTCATGTATCCCAGTGAAGGACTCTGTACAAGCCTTTCTAATGGAACCCTCTACGGTATAAACTGCATTTCGAGCCTCGAGTTGGATCCCGTGAGGTCCTCGGATGCTGGGACCTACCACTGCGCTCTGGCCTCCTGTGGGTCGGTTGTATTTGGAGGGGGAACAAAGGTGGAGATCTCAGGTATGTCGCTGCTGCATATGCCCAATAAGTTAACCAATCAAAATGAATCGCATTAAGTCTATCCTATCAAAGACTGTTGTGATATTTCAGATTTTTTTTTATCTCTGCATGTTGACCTGCACCGCAGTGCCTTCAGTAGTTCTGGGTTCCCTAAGCGTTGCTCTCGTGCTTTCCACCATCGGGCTCCTTGTTTTAAGCTTCCTGAGGTACAAACTGAAGTCAAAGTTATGCTCTTCCTGCAAAGGTAAGGTTTCCATAGTAACTCAACATAATTCAACTTTCAACTCTCACCTGAGGTGTTCCTTTACATGCCGTGGTTTATAGGGACGGGTAAACACCGGATGTGTTGTGAGGCCCGAGACGGTGCTGTGAGTCAACGCAAATGTTCTTGTTCCCTTATTTCACTTAACTTCCTCTACCTTTACCTGAACTTTTTTTTTTCTTTTTTTTGTCAAAAGCAGGAGAATCAGACAGAAAGCCTCCATTATGCAGCTCTGAAGCTGAAGAGAAGCGTTGAGAGACAGCAGCAAGAGGACAACGTCGAGAGTGCCTGTGTGTACTCCAGAGTACGGAGCAGAAAAGAATAAAGCACAACGGTCGACATGAAGGAAATCAGCACCTACCAAAATATTTGAATGAAATAAAGTGCTTTTTTTGTCACCTTTGTGTGTTGTTTGAGTTCTGCAAAATGCCCCCTGGCTTCTGAGCTCACATGCTAATACCTGGTTAAAATAAAGGAAATGAAATGAATACAATAGGCTCATTAAAAAAAAAAAAAAAATCCCCGCGTCTATGAATATCTTTCACGGTGCAAGCTGTGATGGTGTCACTGCTTAGCCTTCTGTGGTGACAGTGGTGGGTGTTGCACTGCAGAAGTTTCCACTGGTGGAAACAAAAGCTCACTCAGACCTCTAACGCACACAGGAAGGCTGGCCCACAGTGGCTTATGCTGCCAGAGAAATGTACAACCCAAGTAATATCACAAGACTATGAAATGATAAATAATACAGAGGCAGTTTGATAACTCATTTGACCAGCAGGAAAAGTGAAAACAAGAAGAGCTTGGGGTTTTGGGTGGAGTATTAGCTCAGCAGATTCCGGTGATTTAGAGAGAGTTGTGCAGAGCTGACAGATTAACGGGATGTATGGAAGCCAAAATGTGACAAAAGTTATTTCACTTGCTTGTTTCAGTTTAAATCTTTAGCTACATCATTCTTAACTAAGTGCAACGGACCAAGTTACTATACCTAAGGTTAACTGATAGTTATTATTAAATCAGTCACTTACATGGTGACAGTATCTATTTTCAGACATGTTCAATTTAAAGTTTGAATGCAAAAAATGAAGTAAATACATTATCACTTTTTTTGCCTGTTGTACTTAGCAGTTACCATGTCACAAAGGGTTTTCGACATGCTGGTACAATATGCGCCACTTCAGTGATATTTTAAGCTTTCAAAATAAATTTAATTGGCAAAAGTAATTTAAGTACCAAAAAAACTAATACATTAGTCCAAGTGGAATGAAATAAATGTCTTTTTCCAAGGTTGTTAAAAGCAAGAGACAAAGTTCTACAATAAAAGCCTTCTATTCAAATTTACACAAAACACATAAACAAATGACATAACATTTCAGGAGTGGGTACATTTGTGTTACCTAGATAATATTGAAATTAGATTATATGCTCGCAAAAACGTTCCTAAACATCCCGATGACTTCTAGCCCAGCCATTGATTTCTCACGCAATTCTGATTTTGGATGGACAAATTGGTAAAGTTATCTGAATTAGCGCAAGATTTTTCTATGTTTATTTAATGTTTCCCACTCAAACAACAGCCTTTACTTGTGTTTTGATTATGCTTAACATACCACAAAGCCTTTACCAAAACTTTTTAAGAAGATTGTCGAGGTCTTTGGTCTGTTTGCAGCTCGTTCTGCTGCTACCTTTTTTTTTTTTTTCTTCAGATTTTATGTGGTTAACAGCCACTGTGTCAAAGGCCCGCGGCACTCTACCAGGAAGTTCGCAGAGGCATTTTTTTTTTTTTTTTTTTGAAATTCACGCACTGCAGCTACACCAAGTGACTGATACTCAAGATGCTTCACATAAAGTGCAATTTTTCAGTGTAAAACCATTTTTAGTTATGGCACAAAAATTCAAATAAATTTAGAATATTTACAAACGTTGGGATAGTGTGACGCCAAGTATAACCCTAAGCCAAAGCGATGAAATATGTCAGAAGTATAATTTTGATGCACATCACAATAATGGTATTCCATTAACCTTTGTATCACTGAAACAGTTGCAGCCCACTGCATTAGGAGAAATACAATTTTTCCTGAGCAAAGATTTTATATATTTGATAAAAATTATAGATAATTCATAAAACAATCAAGCCGATTATATCCAAACATCATCCTTTTCGTCTATCAGTCAGTGGACAATGCATTGATAATGTTTAGGGGGACTCCAACAGGCTAGAGATACCCGACTTTATCAAAAAATGAACAATATTTTCAGGTCACTCAGTGTATTTTTATTGTTACATTTTTAATGGACGTTTTCTACTTGATTACTTGGAACGAGACAGGAATACTTTAATGTAGTCAGTCACACTATAAGTGGTGCAAATGGAAGAAAATAGATTTTCCTACACAAGTGGTGGTAGAAAGATAATCAACGTTACCACGAAGGAGCAGAAATCAGCAGAGGAACATAAAGTGTCTTTATGGGTAGTAAGGCGTTAATTCTCTTCAGCCAATCAGAATCTTCCTCCCTGTGATCAGGAGAGTTCATAATGAGATTCTTTCAGTTTAGTGCAGCAATGACGCCCCTAGTCATCGCCTGGTGTCTGACTTTTCTCTTTTTGGGGAGTTCAGGTGAGTTTTTATTAACCATTTTTGCAAAGAAACACAAATATTTAAAATAGATCTACATTTTCCAGCTAATGAACAAGGTAATCTAACTATTTTTCTCTTTCTCCAGGTCAGAGCACCTTATTACGTCAGGAACGGGCTTTTCATTCTACAGAAGTGGGCAGTAACGTTACTCTTCAGTGTTTCTATAATGAGAAAAATGCGGTGATGATTTACTGGTTTAAACAAAAAGTGGGCCAGAAACCGAACATGTTTTCCAGTTTTTATAAAATGGACAAACAAGGCAAATTTCACGATGAGTTCAAGGACAATCTTCGCTTTGAACTAGAAGTGGGAAAGGGTAAAAATCACCTTCGAATCTCTGATTTGCAGCCTTCGGACTCAGCTACTTATTTCTGCGTCGCCATCGAATCAAACACATTTGAGTTTGGAGACGGAGCTACGGTCAACGTAGAAGAACCTGGTTCAAACGTTCATACTTTGGTCCATCAGCCAGATGGGTCTGTGACTCTGAACTGTTCAGTAGACACTGGAAGCTGTGATGCAGAGACCAGTTTTTACTGGTTCAAAGAGCAAAAAGAATCTCGACCGGGACTCATTTACACTCGCGGAGGCAGAAATGGAGGCTGCAATAGAACAATGACGACAGCAACACAGACCTGTGACTACATTGTGCCACCGATGGACCTTGATGTGTCCAACGACGAGGTTGCCAGCTGCGCCGTGGCTTCATGTGGGTCTTTACTGTTTGAAGATGGAGAAAACATGGAGTCGGCAGGTAAAAAGTAAAAAAAAAAGATTTCCCTTTGCTTGTTCTAACAACTACCCTTCTGGATGAATAGAAAACTGAACTAATAATGATAAAACTGTCATTGAATAACAAAACAACTGAAGGGACATCACCTCCATCAGCAGAAAGTGTGTCATATTTCAAAATCTGCTGAAAAAATAACTGACAATAGTGTCCAATTTAATAACAGAGGGAAACGTTCTGGTTTATTCTTATGTTTAGGATTTTTATATTGTTTCTTACTCACAGGAGCCAAAAGTCAAGCTTACTTCTACAGCACATTTCAGCAACAAGACAGCTCAACGTGCTTTACATCATAAAAACATCACACCGTCACCAATTATGAGACCAGCAATAAACATTACATTTTGTCAAATGCCATCATCAAAATCACCAATACAGATCACCTATACTTAAAACTAGGGAAGTTCAACAAACAGCAAAGGGTTCCTTCTAAATGTATAAAGCCTTTATTGGTTCTTTGTACAGGTGAGCTGAACTCCCCTGAACTTGTACTTTTTCTAAGCGGAGCTCTGACAGTCACCGTCATGTTGAGTGCTGTGATGGCTTTCTCGATATGCAGTATGAAGAAAACAATTCGAGATCATTGTGCAGGTAAATCTCAATTTTGTTTCAAGCTGTTTGCAAATAATTACCTTTCATTAAAATAAAAATATATAAATGATCTGTTTCACAGCAAACTCAGGTGCAGAACCAGCAGAACGCCACGCAGCTGATTCAGAGGTGAGCCTTAATTTCAAATGCAAACTCCATTTTAGTGCTTTAAACTAAAATCTCTCCCATTCTTCATCCAACAATTGTAACGAAGCTACATTAATCAGAGCCGATATTGACACTTCGGGTGAAGTGTGGGAGAACCTTAATTCAACGTGAGATCGTTCATTGATATATGTTTCTATATCAGGGTAACAAAGATGAGAAGAGCCTCCAATATTCCACCTTAAGGCCACACAGGTCAAACGGATCAAGACGACCGAGAGACGAGGCCTGGAGTCAGTGTGTGTACGCCAGTGTAAAACAAGCCGAATCCACACTTCAACAGCAATCTGCTGCAGCAACAGCAGATAATAAATTAGATAATGTTTGTTGAATTTGACGTGAAAGAAATGTAAAAATAAAAATGGTGTTTTGTACATTTTTATGAATTTCCAAGAGCTGATATGTTTCTGTGCTGGTGCCGGCTAAGTCTGTACAGCTGAAACAATGAAATAAATACCTTTTTCAATGACAAAGGGCAACAAGAACAAGACAGGATGAGATTTTTTTTTGTTTGTTTTAATAGGGTACATTTCAAAACTCAATAATGTAGCTTATCTAATCTGCAATCAGAGTAGTATAATTCACTGCAGGTCTGACCAGTGGGGCTTTTCCAAAGAAGACATGTTTCTGAAAAAAACATTGAAAATGTTTTGACTTTTCACAAATAGAATAAAGATTTCAATAACTCTCTGCTGTGTTGTGCAGAATCTTTTTAGGGCCACCCAAAAATGCCTGCAGAAACAATTTAAATTTTTTTTTTTTACAAAAAAATATGTTCTCTCACATTGGTTGAAACTGCCAGCAAAATATGAGACAGATAATCTGTGAAAAAAAAAAGAAGCTCTTACACCTTCTGCCTGAGCTACTATTGCTGCCTGAAAAAATGCAACACAAAAACAACCAATCAGAGCCAGGAGGAGGGTCTTAGTGCTGTCATTCATGGTTGTGTATGTTCTTTTAAATCGCAACTAAAAACACACCTGTTTAGAATTGTTTTTGAAATGTAATATGTAACAATGTATTGTCTATTATATGTTGCATGACTTTGTGTTCTTGTGTTTATGATGAAAAAGCACTTTGAAATGCCTTGCTGCTGAAATGTGCTTTACAAATAAAATTTGATTGATTGATTGATTGATATTGACTTTCACCCTGCAATGTTTATAAAGGGGTTTTCTTAACACTAATGTATCCAAACAAGAGTTTAACTATATTTATCATAATGAAAAAAATAAGAGTCTAAATTTGGACATATAGGTCAGTAATAAAGGTTAAAAACCAAGTATACATAAATATATATATTAATATAACAAGATCTATAATTAGCATAATAAAATTAATAACTCGCTCTCTAGAGATGGGAACCATTTTTGTGTGGCTGACAGATAAAAACACAATTTCTTCTTCTTGCGCTGTCAGTTATTTCAGTTGCGTAGCTCAACTGAAATAACAAGCCAGGTAAAAATACATCCGGAACTATTTACATAGTGAAATTCAAACAGCCTATTGTTTGCCTACCAAAACCCCACAGCAAGTGTAATGTTATGCCACTGAACAAGAAAATATCAAAAGGCATTTTGCTCTCCTGGGTGCTTGTGTGAGTATCATTTTTTTCTTGTGGGCCATCTAAGTTGATATGTCTGGTCAGTTTCTGTTTCTATGGGGTTGCCAGATTAATTATGTTATTGTTTCTTTCTTTTCGTTTTATTCTTGTAGTCTGTTTCTTATTCATTTGCATTTATTTCCACTAGTGGATTTTCAAATTTTCTGCTTTGGTGTTTGGATGCTTTACGTTTTTCACACATCAAAAGAAGTGTGCGACTAAAAACTCTTTGAGTGACACTCTTCTTTTAGCTGATGTGGAAAAGTATCTGTATATTTTCAACACCACATTTTGCACATCCGCAGGGAGCTGGTCAAGACCACGCTTCACGGTGTTGGACTGGTGTGCTAGCGAAGACGGAGTCGTGTATTTCGTCATTGACATGGGTGTTGTCTGCAGTGAACGTTGTCACTTTATTTTCAAGGCACTGATAGAGTGACTGCACTATCAGTCCAAATCAGCTGGTTCCAAATCCAGCTGATGGAAAAACTTTTTTTCGCATCACAAATCACATGATCAGCAGCTGGATGTTACAAGGTATGCCTTCATTGTTTTTGGACAGTGTGCAGCTGGATTTGCCAATCTACCAAAGCTCCCACACAGTTTATAAAAAAGTTTTGTCATTCCAATATGTTGAATCCATAACTCTTCTGTAAAATTGCTGATTACAATTTACCCAAAACACCACATAGTCACTCTCAAATATCAGGAGCTTGTTACTCCAATGCCTGAATAAGATGTCAACAACTTGTCTCATGGCTACCAGATGATGAACATATCTCACGCAACTGTTAAAATCCTTGATTCTCACTAACTTGAGAATCTTGAGAATCCATTTTTCCATTTTATTTTCAGGGAACGAGAGTTAAACAGAAACACTGCAATTGCAAAATTGGGCTTTTTTGACATCAGCAGAATATCAACAAACTCCATGACGTGGCTCTATGTTTATCTGCATGTTAAACTGGATACTGAAGATCTTAATCCTCAGTGAAAACTGTCCTTGTTAGGCTGGTTTATTTGCATCAGAATCTGCCAACGCATATTTTACGTTGTGTGCCTGTTTGTACCAGATCAGCAATAGATTATGCTAATGCTCCACTTCCCCCTCTGTGTGTCATGTTCAACTTCCAGCTCTTTTCAAAGTGAATTATTTCCATGTCCATTTCTGAACTGCATATGGTTCAGATTATTTCCAAATCAAGTCTAATCCTTGGTGATTCACTTGATGCCTAAAGCGTTTTTATCAGTGAATCCTTCCTAAAACGGCTGAGCTGTCCCTGGAGCGCTCCAAACTGTCTGCTGTTCCCTAACCATTCAGTCACCCTCCCTGTAATGTTTTGCATAAACAAACCTTTTTTTTCTCTTCCTAATATTGAAGGCTTCACTGTAATAGAGTACAGTGCAGCATCATGATGAAGAGTCTCCTGCTGGCAGCCTGGATTTTATCAGGTACAACTTATAAACGTTTGATATATTTCTTTTAATGACACTGTAGAAGATGTAATGAGATTTTAAATATCTAAAGATTTGCTATACTTTTCTAGCCTGCCTCAGTTTTTCCTCGTCCCAAGAACGTCAGTACTACTTAGTCAACGAGCCTCTGAAATGGGATCAGGCTCAGAGCTACTGCAGAAAGCACCACACAGACCTGGCTACCATCGAAAACTTAAAAGACGAGAAGCAATTCCTCGACATTGTTTCGTCTATTAAAAGCGACGTTTGGATTGGTCTATACAGCAATATCAGCTGGACATGGTCTCACATACTGAACAGTGACGAGTACAGAAACTGGGAGAGTTCCGATTACGATCCCGACTTTATTTCAGCCAATCAGTTCTGTGTGTGCATTGGAGACAATGGAAGATGGTGGGACTACGACTGTGCGAAAAAACTCCCATTTGTTTGTTATAATGGTAACGTTTCAGTGGTGAATAAAGCTTGTTATTGGAACTGAAATTGTAATCTTACCACACTGACTAATCCTTCTGTTGTCTTAACTTCATACACAGCAGGGACAAGTGAGTTTGTGGCTGTAGATGAAGCAATGAATTGGTCCACTGCTCGTTCATACTGCCAGAGGAAGTTCACAGACCTGGCCACAATCGGGAACAGCACAGAGAACCAACGGGTTCAAACCCTGGTACCGACTGGAAACTGGGCATGGACTGGTCTATATAGAAATGAAAACATTTACTGGTCTGATCAGAGTCGCTTCGGGTTCAGCAACTGGGATCACGTATCGAATATGATTGGTTCCAACGCACGAATGTGCGGAGCTACGTCCAAAGCAAGATCTGCAAAATGGAAGTTTTCACCCTGTGATTGGTCACGGCCGTTTGTGTGCTACTCGTTCAAAGGTGAGTCTTACCCTTCTTTGGTAAAACAAATGACTGATTTAGGAAGAAAATTTTCAAGATAAAATTGCAAACGAATGTGTTTCCTTCAACTAGTGATGAAGAGAATAGTGAAGATAAAACTGAGACCAACAGGTGCTTTGGATTTGAGTGACCCCAAACAGAAAGCTCAACTCCTGAGAAAGGCAAGTGTTTTGTGGTGCATAGTTGCTAGCTGCGTTTCCATTGACTATATAATTGCACAAATCGTAATTACAAAAATAAATGTACTTAAAGAAAATATGGCAATTTTGAAAAAAAAAAAAGACATTCTTCAATAAGAAGGGTTTGCGCTAGGATGAGGCGGTTGTGTCAATTTGGCAATACGGATGAAAAGTACAAATGAAAACACTTCACATCACACGAGTCGCGTGACCAACAACGAGATGTTACTGATAGAAAAGATGAAGAAGATGACAGGAAGTGGGAGAACGGTGACGTCACAGGACGATTACTAATGACTTACTGCTCAAGCAAAAGTTATTCACCCATCATTTTAATTGCATTTCTCATTTAATGGAAACACCGCAATTGTAAAATGTTATTTTATTTTTTCAACATTAGCAGAATATTGGGACAATGATTTGTGCACATTTTTAATGGAAACGTAGCTAGTGATACCTCAAAGATTGCCTCCAAAACTCAAGTTCTGATGAGATTTTTGAAAAACTGTCAACTATTTTTATCTTGCAGCTCCAGGAAAAATTACATGAAAGTGCAAAGTTGACATTCGTTGAGCAGCCGAAGAAGGTCAAGAAAAAGACTGAATTATAGAATATGCACTCCAGTTTTCCACTCTTCTTTTGGAGGCAGTTTAGTCACTTGCGACTCGGGATCTGATGGACTTCTAATGTACAGTAAAGAGGACATCTTAGTCTTTCTAATAGTGATTATTCAGTAAGGTATTCTTTTGAATTTGAATGCATCTTCATAGGTACCCCAAAACTGTATTAAATCCAGTAATTTATTTTAACAGGAGACTAGTATGTTTTTTAATGTCATCATATACAGACAATATATTTAAAAGATTTATTTTTTATTTTCACTGAATAATTACAAAAATCCAAATTTCACTTTTTTGGAATAGTTGAAAATGGCTGAATTTGTTTTTACTTCACTATACTTTTCAGGCATCGGCTATTCCTATTGTTTTTGCACCTTTGTCTACCTATTTTTTTCATTTGTGTGATCAGCAGGGAACTGACAAGTAAGCAGTCGTCCTCCATGACTGCTTAGCCCATAATATAACTTTTATGTATTTAAAAAAATATATAAATTGTTTATCCTGAAGAAACAGATTTTGGGGGTTTGTTCAGCTGTAATCATTAAAATCAACAAGAATAAACATTGGGAAGATGCTGGTTTATGCAAAAAACAATGACATGAGTTTCATTTTTTAAACAGAATAACTCAAAATAAATTTTAGCATCATTCTAATATATTGAGATCCTCTTGTGCTTTGTTCCTATTTCTATTTTTTTTAATCTTCCTTAGTTTGAACTTTGTCAATAAACACGCAACACTTAATTGACAATCTGAACTGTTTCAGTCCGCTGAAAGCCTTACCTGTATTTGTGTTTAATTTTGTGTCATTCCCAGAAGTACAATGATCCCTAAACATATATACTATGTGGAACCTGAGACCGGATTAGGAAGCGATGTTAAAATGGGGTTTTCCATTCTGTTGCCACCATGTAAAGGGAACCAGTTCAGTATGCCTAAAATTGATTCAGAATTTGATCCTGATGACATGATAGCATTCATTATTTCAATATCTCTCCCCAGATCATTTCCTCATACTGTAGGAAAATAACTGAATGACAAATTCTGATTCTGCAAGTACAACCAAGTACCTTTCATTTCCCCCAACAAACACCACACGACAGAGGGTGTTCAATGTGGAGAGTTATCTCGTCACAGGACAAGTTTTATGATTCAAAGTTTAATTTGTTACATTGCTATGCAATAGAGGAGGGCATTTATAATTTATCATGAAACATTTCTGGTAAGAATTTCAACTTATAGGTGTCTCAATAAATTATAATGAATGATGTTATGTAAAAACCAAATTGACAACATCACTGTATTTTATTTTTTTTTACTAGATTGCTCCTGGATGTTCCACCAAAGCATCAATAAATGTAAATTTGAATTTTTTTTTTTAAATTAGTGATAAAATTATGAGTCCATATCACCCACCCACTTTTAAAGTTACATAATTATAAAAATGTGTTTCATCCTGGAAAAAAAAAAAAAAAAAAAATATATATATATATATATATATATATATATATATATATATATATATATATATATATATATATATACACTACTGTATTGTTGGACTGTACCAAATAGACGCCCGTGAGATGGTACCAGGTCACAAGGCTGATTGACCCAATAAAGTTCAGACACACGTACAAGTTATGGGAGTGATTTAATTCAGGATGCAGGTTCAGTGCATTACGCTTCCTGAAGAGACAGCACACAAACGAAGAGATCAAACAAACCAGCGAATAGAAACCAAAGGAAAAGCAGCGTGGTACAAATCACAACGTCAGTGTCATCATCCGTGAAACTCACTGGACTAATACAGTGGAATACCACAATCCCTCACGTTCCCCCTTCTTGCTCAAAGGAACATTGATACAATGACGACACATCACTACGAAAACTAACTGGAACATGAGCAGAATATGTACAAAAGATGATCTAAGGTGTAAACAAGCGAATATAATGTGCCGTATTCAGTATGTGATAAACCCCAAGAGTGGTCGTGACAACAGGAGCTGCGTTTCCATAACGGATGTGCGCAAAACCTAATGTTAGCTAATGTCTTTAAAAAAAAACACACACACACACAATTTCACAATTTTGGGTTTTCCGTTAAATAAGAAAGAAGTTTAAATTAAGTTTGTTTCTTTAAAAAAAAAGAAAAACATTCTGTGCCATCATCCTTCCACCACTTCTTCGTCTTTTCCATCAGTTGTCACATCCGGTTGTTGATCACATGACTCATGTGACGGGTAGAAACATGTTTCAAATGCAGTTTTGGGAAATAATATTTTTCATGGTTTGGTCAAAAGACCACCTCATCCTAGCTTTTTGTCTTTCTCTAAACTGGCGAGTTTCCATTGAGCGAATTTATTTTTCGAATTCAAAATTTTAAGCTCGGTGGAAACGCAGCTGCTGCTGGTTGTCGGTGGTCTGCAAAAGCCTTCAGATGTTGGACCGTGACATACTTCGTAAACCGGTTAGTGCAATCAATCGCACAAAAAGTCATCAGCGAGAGGTCAACAGAAAAAGAAAATGAACTTGTGTATCAAAAATATCCATATACATAATAATTGCTGTATGCAGTAGCTGTCTGCGTCTTTTGGAGATGACAGTCTCACTTCCAGTTGGCGGTACGTGTGAATTATTCCTGCTCGGAAAACAGTCATATTAAAAATGGATACATGGAAAGCAAGCGATGATAATGAAACCGGAAACTTTTTTTGTTGTTGTTTTTTTTGATATCGTCGTTAGGAAAGCCATTTGGCGAATCAATGCAGAAGGAAAATAATAAAAAATAATTAAAAAAAAGATTTATTTTGGTGGACGTGTAAAACGCAAACACACACGTTGATGGGAATATGTACAAATTGGAAAACGCTGTTCATATTTACACATTTACATACGACAAAAGCAAACCTTTAAAGAGACAAGATTTCACCGTGGGCTACGCCTAATATAGGCTGATACAGAATACATCGACATACCTCCTTTCTCCTCATGTCGCAACCTTCGTCTCCAGGGGACAGAGTCCGCTCCGACCCACAACATGTAAGGAGGAGGAACAGAAAGGGCCATTCTTTTTCTTCTTCTTCTACTTCTTTTCATTTTTAACCCTCCCGCGGTCAGAAATGGGGCCCATTAAGAAGCCAAGAGCTTCTTACCCTGTGCGGCGATTCCGCCCGTGACCTTTTTACGAGGTTCATTTCTTTTTGTGTGTGTGTGTGTGTGTGTGTGTGTGTGTGTGTGTGTGTGTGTGTGTGTGTGTGTGTGTGTGCGTGGTTTCGGGAACCACAAACACCTCCTGAGACCGCGGGGGAGTTAAAACACAAATAACATGATAACTAGAGAAATGTCACAGAGCAGATCTAAGTCTGCCGTCTTAGGCACCATGGGACAGACGAGAGCTGACACTCACTTGAAACACCGCACATTGATATTCATACGATTTTAAACAAGGATCTGGAACGATGGTGACTTAGAAAACGGGGGAAAAAAACAGATCAAAGCTATGTGGACGTAACGGTGTAATAGTCCCAAGGAGGTGAGAAGTACCTGTGAGTGGAAATTCCAAGAAAGTGCAACACCGCCCTCTTGTGTTTGCATGCTTATTCCCTTCAGATGCAAGTTCACAAGGGTTTTATTATACTGTACATTCCATTGAGATTATTATTGCCTTGCAAAAAGAGAGGAGTGCTAACTTTGGGGGAGAAGTAAAGTAAGTAAAGGACTAAAAAGCTGGCTCATCTTTCATTTAACATCACTACCCCAACAAGGCTCAAGCACAACCACACAGTGCCTCGGAAAAGTATTTGTACCCCTTCAAAGCTCTATATTTGGACACATTACAACCACAAACTTCAATGTATTATTAATACACCAATTTAAATTGTCGCGTAATGTGAAGTAGAAGGAAAAAACTTCATGTTTGTTCAGTAGAGGTGTGAATACTTGTAAGATTTATCCTTCTGGTTTCAGATTTTCTCTTGAAATTTTGCTTTATTTTTGGATTTCTACCGCAAATTTTGTTTTGATTTGTTCTCAGACAATATTTTTTGTATTTTCTGCATTTTGTTCAATGAGAAAAATTTAACACAAATCGTGTTACTATCACGTTGAAGTATTTTGTTGACACAATTCTTGTCCAAATTCTGTCTATGGTTCGAGCAAAATAAAACTCAAAAGGGAAACCTGAGTTGAGCTTTCTCGCATGCACGCAAAACGCTACAAGACATCGCTCTGATCATAGTGGTGGCAGCATCATGCTGCGGGGGATGCTGCGAAGGGAAAGACTGGAGCAGATAAAAACAATGACAAGAAAATCCTAGGCTTCGAAAACAGCCTGCGACATTAGGAAAGACGTTCTTCTTACCGCTGAAGCTACAAAGGAACGGTTTACAGAAACGTTAAGAGTGGCCTAATCCAAGAAATGATTTAAGTCAAACGGAGAAGCTTTTCTTTTCACAGATGTTCTCCATGCATCTTTGCAGAAAAATGTGGCTTCACAAATAATCGATTTGTTCAAATTTCCACACAATTTGGAAAGGAAAACAAAAAACAACTCTTTATTTCATGGTAGTCAGGAGGATATGCGCTACTTTGTGTCATAAAATACACTGAAGTTCATGGCTGTAACATGACAAATATGAATAATAAAGGTCTAGGTAAAGGTGATACTTTTGCGAGGCCTGATTTCAGTCGCTGTTGGCCTGCACTGATCAACCGTCTTATCAGTTAAATCTAGTAAAGGAAGTTGTGCTACTTCAGCACACTTTTGAAGCACTGAGACACAAAATAACAGATGAACCTTAAACACTTCTTCAGAGTTGAGATGAACTGAAAAGGAGACGAAAGGGACGTGGAATAAAAAAAAAAAAAAAAAAAAAAAAAAAACTTCAAGCAGATCACCAAAAAGTTGAGTTGGAAGAGGCTGTCGGGTAGATCTGATGATTCCAACGTGGATGAAAAAAAAATAAATGAGAGAGAGAGAGACAGAGGAAGTCAGAGTCCCTGTGCTTGTTAGCTGGCTCGGCTAGGCTGGGCTAGCCCGTCAGCGTTGCCCCGTCAGCCATCAGCTGCTCAGGTAACCGTGTAATTCTCTGGAGTTGATGCTCAGGATCACACCTGAGTGGTTGCCTGGAGACGAGGTCGGAGGGGACAGCGGGGGGGACGACAAACAACACGTCCAATCGAATTAGCAATGCGCTAACAAACGAACTGCAGAAATCACAGTGAATGGTGTGAACGGTACTTTGTGGAGTTTTCTAAACAAACAGTGTAACCATGGGAACACATCTCAACCAAATAAACATTATTTTAGAAACATCAAAGAACATTCAACTATGTAGCATAGCATGTCGAAAAGACAGGCGCATCTCAATAAATATTCATAAGTCAATAAATTTCACTGCAAAGTTAATTTGCTTTGATTTTGTTTTAAAAAGGATACACACAATTATTATATTTCTTGGATCTTCTGCTTTTGATGATTACAGTTCACGCCTAAGAAAAACTCCCAAATTCATAGTTACTTGAAAAATGTGAATAATTCATAACTCTATTAAAGACTAATAAAACCTTTTTTGGGGGGGGTAGTCACTGACACCATGCATAAATAGGGTAAACCTCAAAAAGTCATGCCAACGAAGCCAGTTCTCTGCACATTGCCATAACAACCAGAAAGTTGAGTGGAAGGAAAAAGTGCAGTTGTAAAACAAGCAAAACTTTAAAAAATAAATAAATACACACGACTTTTTTAAAATACAAAAACACTTTATTGATTAGGGAAATTAAGCTCAATAACGAATTGAAATAAAAGGTTACATGCTTATTTACTGAGATGCACCTGTAAATATAATCAATTGACTGAAGTGCCTTAAAGAAAACAAACGAAGAGACAACATTAAAATATTAAAAGAAAACGGGTGAAGTCATTCAGTACCTTGGTGTGTGTTAGCTGCTGGAGTTAGTGGCCTGGCTGTTTTAGTAGCAGTGGTTAGTGGTAGTCCTTATAAGAGAACGGAAGGCGGGGCTGCCTCCCGTGTTACCTAGAGTCTGCGAGTCCAGGTCGTCGTCGATGAACTCCTCGCCCTGGATGATGTGCTGCGTGTCCTCGCTGTGGTTGACGGGGCTGGTCATCTCCTGCTCCTTCTCGTTGTGCATCTGGGCGTAGATGTTGCGGTTGCCCGGGAGCTTTCTGAAAAACAGTGGAGGATAGGGGTCCTCAGTCCTAGGCCAAGGACTGTGGGATAGTAGTTTGTTTTTAATGAGACGGGGCTGAAGAACCGCACGGCAGCTTTTCATTCAAGTGACTTTTCGGTGGATATTCGTGTTCCGCGCTCAGGGGCTGTGGTGTCATTAGTGAGCTAGGGGGGAAATAATCAATTAAAAATGCATGCAGCTCGTAAGATATTGTTATTGACGCTAAATTTCATGCAAACTACTGAGTGTGTTTGAAAAAAGGGGGGCAATAAAACAATGGTCACCAGCCGGTTTCAGACCCTTTTGAATCAAGCAAACAATAATTTAATAAAACTATAAAAATCTGCTACAAAAATTGAGCTATTCTGTAGAATTCTTTGCATTTATTGTAGATGGTAATGGCTGTGGGGCAGGAGAGATCTCCTGTAGCAGTCTGTGTTACAGAGAATTAGAAGAAGCCTCTAACTGAAGACATTTTTTTACATATGTTCTTGGAACTGAATCATGACAAGATCTTTGTTTAGTGTTAACATACATCTAAATGTCCAACTTGTCTTATGTAAAACGTGTTTCCTCCGTCACTGGGAGGTGGGGTGATGTCACCACGACCTCCATGACCTCTCTGAATGAGGCCGGACTGTAGGACCTCTTTGAAAAACTACCTCACTGCTGCCATTGTCTTTTTGATTTCATAATAGGTTTGTGTACATATAAATCTAACCAGACTTTCATACTTTGAGAAAATAGATGTTTTGTGTTAAAACTCAGGTCATGCTACTGGCTGTGGTCGAGTGCAGACCAACAGGAAGTGACTTCACACCAGGACAAAGCTCACCTTTTGAACTTGTACAGAATGAACGAGCCAGTGCCAATGACGCTTATTAGGAATATGACAGCCAGCGCCCAAACACCTGGACCTCCAGCTGCTCCGTGGTAGCCTGGAGTGACAAACAAATGCACAGGTTTCAGAGAAGAAGGGACCGATGTCACGTAGAAGCAAAAGCAGGAATTTGCTAGTGTTGATGAGAAAGTTCTAGGGGTGTGTCGGAGAACAACACAGCACGGCGGCCTCAGAGTGGAGACGATTCATTGGGTCGCAGCAACAGGGAGAGAGTTTTTATTTGTGTTTGGGAACGTCTGGTGAACGCACCGCTCTCTGCCGCTGCGGCTACCAAGTCATTAGCAATTAAACCTATTCAATGGAAATAATTATTAGCGTGCCGTTGGGTACGGCTTGAACAATAAACTAAAGTGGAAACGATCACGGCAAACGCCAAGTGAAGCGTCGGTAGCTCTCAGGGTCTACCTGCGTTTGGGTCGGCCAACATCACCAACACCCGCAGACCTCCTCGGACCATGAAGCTGATGTTCTTGTCGCTGACCGCTTGAACCACCGCCGGGATACGCTAAGAAGGAGAAAGTTGTATTAGAGCTGCGTTTACACTGAAGGTGTCTTTATGTTTTGGGAGAAATTGCCCGGTTTTGTGTGGCTCTACCTTGTCTACTAATATACTGCCCTTGGCCGGTTTGGAGTCCAGCGGCAACACGTACAGGTCGGCCGTCGTGGGGAGGCCCGGGTTCACCACGGTAACCAGAGAGTCCTGAGGCACGCCTGTGGTCTGAGGACACGAGTCACAAAGAACGCTGTAAGGCTGGTCATCAAGACGCCGACAGCACAACAATCGCACATTCTACAAAAAAATGAGAATTGCTCAGCTTTGGCGTTTCACAGCTTTCAGCTCAACGTATTTGGGATTTTTACACCAGTTTAGTAATTAAGCTTAATTAATAATTTACATAATTATTGACTAAATAGCAGTCAACAGATCAGTGCTCCGCTCCATATTCATAATTTGCTATAAATGATTCAGCGTTCACTATGTTAATGCTTTGGTATTGCATTTTAGGCAATTCTTTTTAGTTAAAAGGGAATTAAGTTATTTGTTTATTTGCATTTTTAAAAAATGTTTTTCTAATATAAAAATAAGCTTTGGTAGACCATGAGAAATATGTAGATTGTTAGTCCTTCCATTCGATTAATCGTCAGAATAATCGATTATTTGTAGCCCTGAAAAATATATAAAGCCACTGCTGCTGGGCTGATAACAGATTTTGTCAAATGGGCAAATAAACGACTAAAATCCAACAATAAAGGACAGAGCTACACTTCTCCTGGTCATCTTTCATACTTCATCACCGTCATCCAGTGAAAACATTTTCGTCTCTCACAACCAAGTGATCCAGCGGCAACATCAACGTCGTCCACAACAAAGAAAATGACTGGAAATGAGGTGAATTGCAGGGATCGAACCTTGGCTAGGAGCTTGGTGACCACCTGGCCCACGTCGTGCCTCCACTCCGGGATGTTGGGGTTGAAACGGTCCAGGTTCCTGCTGAAGCTCAGCGGGATGACTTGAAAGTTGTCTGGAAGGAGAGCGAGTCGCCACGTCCGTTAGGACCAACACCCAATCGGGCCCGACAAAACATGACCCTAAACCCACGGCTGCTGCTCCGAACGGACAGACGCGCCTCGTCGCCAATCACCTCGGAGGAAACGTGGCGTAGTTTCGGTCTGCATGTTTCCGCTGCCGGCGCTAATAGATGGCAGCAGTTGCCACTCAATTTGTTTCTCTTTCATAAGGAATCGCATGTAAAACTTTAGATCAGCGGCATCAGGGGCCAAAAAAGGTTTTCAAAATAAACATTTTGTTTTTGTTACTTTTATTTACACAATAATAAATGAAAGTAACATTTTCTTTAATTAACTATAGATACAAAACAGAAAAAAAAAAGTTGTGCATGACTGTGTTATGACACGACAGAATCCTGACTTATTTTATGAAGATGTTATTTATCTGTATAACAATTATTCTTTTTATTTTTTATGAAAATGTTATCTTCCCGTAACAAAACTTGTTACAGGTTATTAAGTAAACCAGTCTAGTATTACATGGCCACAAACCTAAGTTAAGTCCCTGTTTATGGAAAAACACACGCAACCATCTTTACCGTGACGCTTCATTAAGTGTAAGATATGAATTGTCTTACCATAGACTCTGACGATCTTTGTGTCCTGCACCATGGATCGGCCGTTGGACGCCTGGACGGTGACGGAAACCTCTCCGCTCTCGGGGAAACGGGTCAAAAGGCTGTTCTGGAGGGTCAGTTTGGGCTGGGAGAGGGAGGCAGAAATGTTAGCTACACGACAGGAAGAACCAGACAAACTAGCACACCAAGAACTTGGGTGTTAAACCTCATAATAATCAAGTTTTTATATATTCAAACATTATTCAGTCATTATGCTGAGTTAAATATGCAGATATGTTTTGATGAGGGAATAACTACAACAGGTAGTGTTATTTTACATAGATCCGCCTATAGGTTTCTGTCAGTCATGACTGTCAGTCATGACTGTCAAACAACAGCTGAATATTTCCAACTTTACCTTTGGGCCGTCGCCGAGCCACCAGTAGAAGACGGTCAGGTTGGCTGCAGTGGGAAGAACTATGGCCGTCAGGTTGACTTCATGGTTTCTCCTGGCGATGGGAACTGCTTCCAGGTGAACTTCCTGCAGAGGCTCTGCACAGGAAATAGTTGTTTTTTATTACCTCAAACAACAGTTAAATGAAAAATCCCTCGCTGCCTTTCTTAGTCTACTGACCAGCTATTACAATTAAACGTAAAAAGCCACATTCAGGAAGACTGACACCGTGTCCCCTGCTGTCTTTACACACCGATGAGCACAGCGGGTCAATCTGAGTTCAACATGTTGCCTGAGGACACAGTGACACATAAAAAGGACTGAACAGGATCGTTGGACGATCTGACTGGTGAAAAAATAAAAACACTTTGGATCAAACGGCCCCTCTTTCGAACGAACGTGGCGGCGTTTCCGCAACTTCTGGACTTCTGGAATGTTTTTCTTCGCTTTTTCTCACTGTCATTCACTATTTAATATTTGTTTAGCATAAATGCTGCCTCATACCTCTTCTGCTTTTAGTTGGCCATGACTCCTGCTCTGTTTTGTTGGTCCATCTCTTTTCACAAACTTGTCCATTTTGCGCTTGTTGGGTCGAGGAGAAAAGCTGAGCATTTCAATAAGTTATTTCAGCTTAAATTTTATAATAACTGGTAAATAGATTTGATTGTATTCTTTGAAAAATTTCATTTTAAAATGAGAAAATTTGCTTTTTTTTCCCTCCCTCATCTTTCCTCCAACTTTCTGAGGCATTTTGGTCAAATGAACTATAAAAAAAGAACAAATTGCAAACATAAAAAAAACAGAAAGGTAAGCAAAACCTAGCGCCCCCTGGTGGCCACCATTTTGAAAAATTTGAGGTTTGATTTTTTTTTGTTTTTTTTAGTAAAATGCAAAAAAAAGTTAAATTGTTGTGAAAACTCAGGACGGAACTTAAACTGATTTATATAATTTTTTCTACAACATGGAAATAATCAGGAGTCACTGCACACGTTTCCATTTTGTTCACCCAGAATTGCTAGAATGCTAGCATTAGCTTTTAATAACTTCCTAGACTTTTTACTTCCTCAAACCGCTTTTGTATTTTTATTTCAGCTTTTCCTTGTAGGAACGATTTTGCTGAAAAGTGGCATTTATTTTACTGATTGTTACACAGGTTTATCTGTCTCTGCTGCGATGTTGAACACTCCCAGGTTGTAAATAAAAAAAGGAATGAAGCGTTTAGGTTTAATGCCTCTGACACAAGACAGCTGTCTGACTCAGGAAAGGAATAAAACACCAAATAAATATGTTCCCTTTAAAGGTCAAAGAGTAGGTCAAACACTGACCTGTGACCTGGATGTACATGGTGGCTTCGTCGTGTCCCGCCAGGTTCTCCGCCTTCACAGTCACCTTGTAAACGCCGGGCTTTTCGTAGCGGTGCTGGATGGGCTCGTCGGTCACCGTCAGGTTCTGGTAAATGGTTCGAACGCCGTCGCCGAGGTCCACCTGGTACCTGGTGCTGCTCGTGTCGCCCTGTTGGGAACAAAAAGACGCGTAAGCCGGTGGCAGAGAAAATGCCAGAGGGAGAAGCAGGGAGAAATCGGCTATTTTATTTTATTTAATTTTTTTACCACACCTGCTCCTGGTGGACAATGAACGTGATGTCATCGCCAGGGGCCACGGCCAGCATTTGACCTTTAATGGCGACCTTCAGTCCTTTAGGGGGCAACAGAGGGCAGCTGTGCTGTTTGGCGCTCTGCTGTTTGTCGAGGCCTCCCTCGCAAGAGTTCGATATCACCTTCCTGTAGCTGAAACACAACGGAGAACAATGAAAGAAAAAGAAAATGCAAGCTAACAGCTAATATCCTACGTATTATAAACGTCTGTCTGGTCAAAGCTGCTCTGGTTTCTGCTACTTTCAGATTTTACCCAACTCTAAGCTGCTTGTCCAAAAACATAACAGGAATTTAACCTTAAGCTGTGCCTCAGTACAGACATAAACCCTTCATTAAAAATTTTCTACTCATCATATCACCACCGGCAATAATTACTCCAGGTACATGGCCTCCAAAACAAGAAGGAATGGTTGTCATATAGAAATAATTTTTTTCAAAAGCAATTGTTCCCCCAGAAAATGAAGAATTAAACTTTGAAAATAGAAAATATCTAAAAACAAAAAATGACAGAACTACTCCAACACACTGATTAATAATAGATCATTAAACATTAAGTGATGTCATTCATTCCTCAACAACAAACACATTATGTAAAAATGAAAATCTGATATTTTCCCCCCATTTTCTTGCTTCCCAATTGGAGTTGTTGCCACAAGGTTTGGGTCTTATTAACACACAGCATGAAATTAGGGGTGAAACCCCCCCCAAAAAAACACAAGCCTTTTTTTTTTATTAAACACGTGACGTACCCAGTGCTAGACTGGTAGCTTTGTCCGAGGTGGCAGCTCTCTGGAGGAGACTCAGGATCAAACCAGAAGTCCGGGAAGCATCGATCACCCTCCGTGTAGGAGCGCTCAAAGCCGTAATCACTGCATGTGCACAACGGTTGCAATCAGAGACTTTATTTTTGTTGTTTTTTTGTGCGTTTCATTGTCTTCTGTGGCCCGCTCACCAGATGAAGTCGCCGTCGGTGCACTGGCAGGGCGTGGAGGCGAGAGCCGAGGTGTAGCTCTTTCCTTTCACGCAGAACGCGCTGTCCTTCCGCTTCCTGAAGGTCCGCTCTCGTCCCATAATGCACTTTTCCCCCTGCGGGCGACCCGGGCGTACCGAAAACATTCACACAAGCTAACACAAAGCGTTTTATCTGCAATCCTACATTCTCAAAAATAGTTTCAAAAACCTATCAAACAGTTGAATTATAGGTGGAAATAAAACAAATGTGTTCGTGGCTTCAAGTATGATCTACCTGCAGGTCTGTGAGCTGCCAAGACTCGTAATCCGACTCAGTGCATTGACTGGGGAAAGACTGCCTGAAGTCCACTTTGACCAGCTCCCAGTCCGACCTGTAGCTGATGTGGCCAAACACACTGAAAACACATGCACACACACGCGCACACGCACGCACACACACACACACACACACACACACACACACACACACACGCACACACAACACACACACACACACACACACACCACACACACACACACACACACACACACACACACACACACACACACATTCGATATTCACTGTTACTTCAGGGCAGAGAGGTCTATGTCTGTACTTCCACGATTTTGTTTTTATTCATCAATAATTAAAAGGTATCAAGATCAAAAGAAAGAGCTTCAATAAGAAGAGCAAAGAACAGAGAAGCACCTATGAAGATTAATCAGAAAAACTGTCTAGAGAGAAACTTGGACATTTCTGAGCTTGGAAAGTAAAAAATTTGCTAGAAAAAAAAATACCATTTTGAGATTAACCTCAAGAAATGTTCTAGTGTTTCAGAAGTCAAAAGTTTTCAGCTTTTTCTAGAAATCTCTGAGACTGATCTAAAATTTGTGAACTTTTCCCAGAAGATTTTAGTCTTGCTTTAGTCTTTGCACAAAGACACAAAAGCAAATTCATCAATGAAATTTCAGAAATAAATCTCAATATTTTTTGGCAGAAATTTACACTTATTTTTTTGTCCTGTCTACAATTTCCGAGTAGCTCCAGAGTAGCAAAGCCTCTCTGACGCAACACGCGGCATCCCTGCACTAGATGGTGCTGTTCTATAATCCAACACAGGCCCACTCCCCATTCGGGAGCTACAGTGAGCTGTCTTCCCGTCTCGGTTGCAGCGTTGCTTCTAAAAGCAGACTGATATGACTCAAGTCAGTGACTCCAGCATATGTTAGTCTGCCAGCGGTGGCCCACCATCACCTTGTTGGAGAGCAAAGCGAGCTTGACTAATACCGTCTTCACTGATATCGTTAAAGACGACGTGATGGATGCGTTTCTGCTGCTTCCTCACCTTCTCTCCTGTTGCTGTCTGACAATATTCAAACCCCCTGAAACCACAAAAGCAACAGGAAGTAGAAAAACCGAAATCCAGTCTGGTATAAAGCCAATTCTGAATTAAGAAAAAACTTCTTCCTCACAAAATTGTACCTCATTGATCTGGTCTATAATAGAAATTATGGTTAAAACAAACGGATGTTTGTGGCTCAAACGTGACATTAGATGAAAATGTTCATGCATACTTTGGCAAGGCATTGAGTCTGTTGCTCAGCTATCAACTCAGATTAATGTACATCAACCGTCACTCGCTGCGTTTCCATTACACGTTTTGTCTATATTCTGCTCCTGTTGAAAACACTTTCAGTGGCGGTGTTTTCTTTAAATAAACACAGTTAAATTCACATGTGAATACGCAATAAGTCATTTGAAAAACATGGCGTACCATCATCCTCTAACCACTTCCTGTTTTCTTCGTTGTGGTTTTCGCCAGTAGTAACTTCTAGTTGTCGAAGTGTGAAGTGGAAACGTTGTTTCCATCGCATTTTTGCAAAAAACCAAAACAACAATTTTGAAGTGACCTCAACAAAAAATTCATCTCATCCTAGCACCAAAACGTTTGATTGAAATCCTAGAGTTTTTCCATCAGGCAATTTTTTTTTTTCAAATTAATCAACTACATGGTCATTGTAGGTGAAATCAAATGGTTCAAGTGATTTCGAGAGGCCCACACATACTTCCTAATGAATTCCTAAACTATGCTGACTGCCATCTTCGTTCTCTCGTCCAAATCTGCTCCCACACAAATTCAAATTAATTCGCTCCAGTTTTTAAAGCGAGACTTATTGCTTTATCTGATTCCCACCAGCCTCGGTTAAATTAGCGTCTTGGTGTTTCGGTGTCGAAATGGCACTTCAGAGCCTCTGGAGCTCTGTCAGTGGACAAACAATACTCTGAAGAGAGCCGAGCAAAAACAAACTCAACGGCCATTAATGGATCGTCTCATTAAGGAACACAGAGAAAAAACGCTAGCGCGGATTGGGCTCTTTTTCTTTTCTTTCTTTAACGGGGGGAGCTTCTGGTGCCAAAAGATATCGAATGCGGAGGCGCTTCAGAGGAAATCTTTCTGGCGAAGAAGTTCCTGCAGGAGAACGGGTAACGAAGTGTGAGCTGGGATAATGATCTGGTGTGTTTCTGACACATTGTTTCCATCGGTATTCTTCGTCTGTCCGGTCTTTGATCTGACCAGCTGTCATTAGTACGAGCGCTGGATTAGCTCTGCTCTGCTCTGCCACCAACACCCAACCTCCCCTCCACCTGTCCTTGCTGTTAAGTCGCCGCTCAAAGACTTCATTATGGGATGGCAGACTGTGGCGTCAAAAAAATCGAAACTCCATGGTTAAGAAATAGAGCCTGGCTAATCTGTCAGACAGGAGCTGCCCTCAACACCCCTCCGACCCTATCTCTCCAGAGCCAGATGGGGAACATCTATCTGTGTGTGTGTGTGCATTTCAACCCATCAACATGGGAGGTAATTGTGAGTGAACCTATATGCCGAAGCCTCTTGTCCTCCTGTCTCTGTGTAAGTGTGTGTGTGCGTGTGTGTGTATGGGTGTGTGCGTGTGTGTGTGTGTAGGTGTGTGTGTGTTGATGTGTGTCCCAGTGTTTGTGGTCTTCTCTTTGCCCTTCTCGACAGATTACAGCCGAAAGATTGGCCTTATCTGTGAACCTGGCCGTGTAGTCTGAGATGATGTGACAGGTTTCACTTCAGTTAACTTCCCTGATGGAGGGATTAGCAAAAAGGAAGAGATGCCAAAAGAAGGAGAGAGAAATTTGAGGTCTTGAAAGTTTGACGTTATAGTCCGAAGACGCTTTCTACTGAATTTCCTCCAGGTTTTCAACGCCAAGGGATTGTCAAGAAACCAACCATTTTTGTAGTCGAATATTTGCAAGACTGTTCAAAGATTTGGGTTTCTAGCTCAAACGTACAGGGGAAACAAAAAAAAGATTACTGCTAAAAAGCCATAAAGTTGGTTTTGACACCTGATTGTCCGGTAGACTCGGTTCGATTAGGGGCCAAAATTGCAACATTTGCTACATTTTAAGCTGCTGTGATTCGCTTTCAAACACCACTGTGAAAGACACTTTGAAAAATCTGTTTCCCTTCTCGCCTGTGGTGGCGCTGCACCAAGAACCACTGAAGGAAACAAAACAAAAACGTCAGAAGACAACACTGAAAACAATAGAGTAAAATCAGATTTTAGTGTTTTGGGTTTCTCTTTTGTCTTTGGTAAAAGACCAAAAGGCTATTTCTCTTGCCAGTGTTAGCCTCGCTATTTGTTTTGGTTGTATTTACCCAGGATTCCCTGCACCATCATTAATTTCCTGCTTTCAGAGCACTTTCCCAAAAGTGTATCTTTTATTTCCCTTTAAATATTTACGTTTGTCATGGAAGGGCATCACCCACAAACAATCTGTCGACATGGATATTGTGTTTAATTAATGTTGAGACCTGTTGATCTGAATAAGCAGCTTTTTGTTGAAAGTATCCAACAGCTTTGAAGATTTTCTTGTATCTCTCTTAGCCTCCTGCCCACTCTGTGTGTTGCTGAGATAAATAGCAGTCTCTGTCCAATCTGTAGGCTAATAGCAAAAATAAATAGACCTCAGTGTCACATCATGTTTATACACCAAGGAAAATAAAAGTCATTAGAAGTTCGAAGAAACTCTAATTAGTACTGAATTTGTTCCCTACTAAATAAACATACTGGACATAAAAGCCAGATGTAAAAAATAATGTTTAGTGTGAACCTAGGCAAATGCAACATGATTTTAAGGCTTTTTAGCCATCTTTAATTGGAGCTCCAATAATTATGGCAGAAACTGTATTTACAGTGCCATAGGGAAAGTATTCGCCCCCCGTCCCCTCCCCTTCATACCATTCTCCCATCTGAAAAATGTACAGTTAAAATATATTTTTTAAAAATTCACACCTTTTCTGAAGCTAAATCAAACCAAACATCTCTTGTTTTAGATCAATTTGAATTACCAACATTATTTGGCTAAATGCCACAATGAAAACATATGTCAGAATTTATTAATGTCTTACTAATAAAAAGACTACCTACAGAATCACTATTCTCTCTCTCGACAGCGTGGCATTACCCTTTTCAAACAATTATGCACAAATATAGATGTGACTGGAGTGTCCAACCATCACAGCGCTCAGGAAAGACGGTTCCAAGTCCCGGAAATGAATGTATTTTGGTCTGAAATGTGCAAACAGAAAGAGGCTAATGTAGCTCAGAAAATTACCTTAAGGATGAGCATACAGTAAATCTGAGCATACCTTGAGTGTAACACTTCATGTTGCTCTAAAGTGTACCATTTACCCAATTTAACATGCAGAGATCTGCTGTACCTCGCTGGATGCTGCAAAGAGCCAGCATGGAGAAACATACACAAAAAAAACAACAACAGCAACAAAAAATGCCAAGATCAGATCTGGCAAAGTGTCAGAGGGGAAAGAAACAGACAGGAAGGAAGGCCATGAGGCTGATTGGGCTGTTTTCTCCCTTCAACCTCCACTGTAATGGCAATTTAGAGGTCAAGACAGAGGAGGGGGGTCTCTGCAGGAAATCGGGTGCGAGAGCAGCTGCGGTTAGCACCACGAAATTGCTTGCCCCGCTCCAACAAATCGCGAAAGACTCGCTGTGATGGAAGAGTAACTTGAGCCCCCTCCTTAAGCATGGTTTGCAGCTTGGAAGGTTCTGTCAGATAACTCATTAGAAACGAGCAGAAAGCAGAAAGTGTGAGGAGAGCTCGGGCAGACGGCGTTTGGCATTGCTGTGAAAAGAGCCTCATAATAACCTTTTAGCATAATGTTTTTCAAGAGCTCTGACAGAGAAATACACCTCTGACTCTTTCTGTAAAGAGGCAGAGTTGCCTGACTCCCAGACTGCAGAGAACTGAGCTTTTTTTTCCGTTTTTTTAAAAAAAAAGAGAAAATCAATGTTTTTTTTTTCTTCCAAACCAGCTGAGGTAAGTTGGTGTATGCTGTAAATTATGCAATGATCCTGCAAAATAAAAGAGAATATGATTGAAAAAGGGAGAGCTGCACATGGAAAACCGCATGTTTATATATATCAAGAGAAAATACTCCATTGTGTTGGAAACACAAGCAAGAACATGTCAAATTTCAGAATCTTAGTAGAAGCAAGTCTGTTCCACATTGATTAGTGTCTCCCAGTAACAGGCTGTCAACCAGATGTATTTTTTATTTGTACGTTTGGGGGAATAGTTTATTAACTCACGTCATAACCAGAGTTTCGTCTCCTGGTTCGCTCAGGAGTCCGTCGACGAACACAGACGTGCTGGTGAAGTTGTGAATGTTCCAGGTTCTGCCTTCGTCAATGCTGAACCTAAGGAAAGAAAAGCATGAGCCCGCATCAAAAAGAAGTCAAACTTTTTATCGAGAAACATGACTTCGGGAAGCACGTATCTGTGCCGAAAGTCCTCTTGGAGAAAAACAAAAAGCTATTCTATTCAGATTTGTGTGAAGAAAGTCAAGAAACTTTTACCTCCAGCCTTTATTCACATTATTTGACAAAACGCCTGATAGAAGTAGTGGAAATAAGAAGCGTTCAAATGAACTTAAATGACTATCTCTTGCAACAACCAATACAATCCATTCTAAATCAGAACAGCTGATTTCAGAAAATGTTCAACCTTCAGAAACTCGGACAAGTGCTAAAAGTTCCCGGTATCAAAAAAATCTCAGAAGTAGAAAAAGGTTGAATAAAAACTTACAAGTCCCAGAGAAAGTGAGGTACAAAAAATTACCCAGCGATCTTTTATCGGTTGCGAATCTCCACCCAAAACTCTGGATGAAAACCAAACTCGTATTTCAGAGGCTTCTTGGATCAGTGAACCATTAATGTTTCATTTCTGCTCTGGTAATAGAAGGGAGCCGAGGAAAGACCTTCCAATCAGGTGTCAGCACATTTCATCATTGCAATTTAAAAGTATTTGGTGTTCTCTCTGTAAGAAAAATTATGTTTCAAGTCATATTGCTAAGCACTTTCAGGGTTTTACAAGTTTATTTTAGTATTGTACCATGGTTTGCACTATGATGACTTTGACCAAGGCCCTTTGAGTTCCTCAATAACCTTCACTACCCTTTCAAACCGGGCTGGTGATTCATTTTTCCTAAAGGTACCAAGGTGTAGTTATGCATGTTATCAAGAGGAAGATAATTAGTGGACTGCAATGATTTCCAAATTATACTTTGCATTAAACTCTAAAACATTGTAACTGAGCGATAAAATCCAACACAGCACACTGAAAGCTGAGTCTTCATGCTGTCTTACTGTGACGTTGGTAAGCAAGTTGTTGTGTTTTACTGCATGTTCAGCTTGAATGATCACTGAGAAAAGAAATGAGTTTACTTAAACTTTCGTCAATATTAAATATACCACTTAAGAGTTGGACTGTGCAACACTGGGAAATTGGATAGTACTATTATTCCAACCAAAACTCTCCGTTAGTCATGCTTCATGTCCATAGAGGGATTCGGCACAGGTTGCTGCGGTTTGGTAAGCCACTTCATGGCCCTCAGTAGTCTGGGGAACGTTTCCACCAAAAGTCGGACGTTAGACGGTTGTGGTTAGACCCAAACGTCTCTGTAACAAGCAGTGACGCTTTTCAGTCCATCAGTCAACGGACTGCGTTGCATGACACCATAAGCTCCACTCTAATCGTCCAGCACCGTTGAGCTGAATGGAGTGGAATAGAGGCCACAACATCTCCAAAGTTTGCATGTCTTAAAAACCAGTTGATTTTCAATGGGTCTTTATAAAAATGCATATTTCCGTCACGTCGATCTAAAAAGTAATATCATACACGTGGGATTGGTTTTAGAAAAGTTTTCGTCCACATCAGAAATTCACCCCTGAACGTTGGTTTAAACATACCAGACCCCTAGCGCAAAGGCTGTGTAGCGCAAAGGCTGTGTAGCGCAAAGCTAAATGCTAGGTCAGCCAATCACAATCCTTCAAAGCCACCACAACTTTTTTGTTGGGAATTAAATATGGCTGCAGGAGATTTGTTTGTGCAGACAGACGTGTAGGTTGAACTACTTTATACAGCGTACTAGAATATGTAACACAAGACGATGATGAATGAGAATCATGTCAAAGGAAGCGTGTGGATGTATTAACACATTATTTGTTGCAGACTGTGATGTGAATAAAAATGGGTTTTCCTAGTGGACTAGGCCTTGGAATGAGCTAAGGCCAAGCTAACAGAAGGTGTCAGACCTTGGATCCATTATAAGGGAAAATCTCCAGAAGAGATATCCTAGTCCCTGAAGACCGTCCGGGTTCTGGCTGATAATTAACAACATAGCATAGTTGGATTTTCATCTTATACACTACACCGTCAAAATTTTAAAAGTTGCCAAAGTGGGATATTATTTTTATGACATTTTTTTTCTTAGCATTGTTACTTTTGATCATGTCAACCCAACTGGAGAATCATCAGCATCTGGATCCTACAGGAGATGAGCACGATTAGGTCGTGCACGTGGTTCTCAAAGGTTCTCTTTGGGAGTGACAAGGAGGAACAAGGTCAGGAATGAATACATCAGAGGAACAGCTCATGTCAGATAAAGTGAGAGAAGTCAAACTGAGATGGTTTGGACATGAGCAGAGGAGAGTAGAAGGATGCTGAGGAGACCTACAGAAAGACCAAGGAGGAGATTTAAGGATGGAGTGAAAGAGGAAAGGAAGGTAGCTTGTGAGAGAGAAGAAGATATAGAATATAGGGTTACACTGAGACAGACGAAAGGTTGTGTACATGCCTATTCTGTGCATCAAAATTTATAAAAGTCCTCATAGTTTGAAAACGATTTTTTTTCCTTTCCTTGATTTTGACCTTTGACTGAATACGATTTAGGGCTTAAAAAACATAATATCAGAACACGGCTGTGCAGGCAGGCATATCCAGTTTGCTATTAAATTCCTTTTTTGGGGGGGGGGAATAAAACAAGAAGAGCCATCTGCTCTCCTTTAGTCACCGTGCCAACAATTTCAGCTGTCGACAGTGGCAGTAGCGCTGAGTAAGTGTGACTGCGTGACGGAGAGGGATCAATGAGGAATCAAGCAGTGTCTCGCTCACACAACACGGCTGTGTGTTTTAATGACGCTCTTACCGGGACAATAAGATAATCAGCAGCGAACGCGCACAGCGAGGGGAAGACAGCACAGATCAACACAGCTCCTGAGGATGCAGTGGCAAAGCCTCATTATGCATCAAAGAACAGCTGAATCTAACCACGTTGGAGGTCTCCTTTCTGTCAACACAACCTGTTGGGCCCTGAATCCAAGGGCTTTGTAATTGTTTGAGTTTCTGCTCAGGTGCACGGATGACGGAAATTGGTTTGGAATTACTAAAGCGCTTTTGTTTTTGTTCTGCTTCTATTTTCCTTTGGAGAGAGAGAGAGAGAGAGAGAGAGAGAGAGAGAGAGAGAAAGAGAGAGACACACAATGATCCCGGAGACGGATTAAGAAAAATGTTACATAATCACGAGGCTTTGATGGGTGAGCCTTTGACTCAAACTCTGAGTAAGATCAGTCGGATCCTGACCAGATCAGATAAGCTATTGCTCTAGCAACTTTGTTTAAAGTAGAAATTCTTGTCAGATCAAACGGGAAACAGCAACCTAAGAAATGTTTCTGTGTTCTTGCATTCTCAGGTCTTGATTTGACTTCTGATCATCGATCATCCACTGGGCAAGAATCTCTTATGAGCTCAAGTGTGGCAATTTATTAACTAGCTAACAGCCCCGTACATCATCGCACACTGATCTTATAACCGGCCTCATGCTTCAACGTTGACTCCATTCCCACGTCTCCCAGTAAAACCACCACAAATTGTGATGTCATTTAGAGAAAGAGGGAATTTGACCTCAGAATTTGACGGAAAACATGGATCTCACCAGAATTGTGCAAAAAAATAATGAAAATTCAGGTGAGATCCAGGCTGGTGGTGTTGTAGTGATGGGCTCACTTCTGCTATTCTGCTAATGAGAGTGGAGCTAATTTTTCAATTAGCTAGCACACTTAGCTTCCCCTAAATTAACTTTTACAAATATATCGCAGAGTGCTAATTTACGTGGCTGCTTTGTAATCTTGAATGACATCGACATCTGTGTCGAAGTTTTGGTGACCGACTGAAGGATTCTTCCGACAGTTCGCGGTTTACGCCAGCAAATAACATTATTTTAAACGACATAGAAAAATAAAATAAAACACAGACACTGCAGAAGAAGACGTAAGCATACATACAACATCTCCAGAGTCGTAGTCGTTCGAGGGCAGATGTAATTTGATTTAATGTCACTTCTTAACGCTTTAGCTTCCACTAAATCCTGTTGGGTGTAGTGATGTAGCAGAACTGATGTTTGTAATTAGTGCTTTAGGGTTAGAGTGTTGTGCTTTTGTGTTCTTGGAGCTAATGTTCATGATTAGTGCTTTAGCGTTAGCACAACTAACTTTTTTAGTTGCCTCCTGTTCAGCGACATTGAAGAATTAGGGTCATACAAGAAAGATGTACCTAATAAAGTGTCAGATGAGTGCATATTCAGCCCATCAGGTTTTCTAAAGCACATAAAACAGTTTATATGTGTGTGCAAAAATATGCACAGCTAAGATTTGCTACCATTTGAATCAGCCACACAGAATGATACAGCTTTAAAGAGTTAGGAAAAGTTTAACACATTGTGACAATCAGCATCTTAATCTCTGGTACTAAAGCAGCAATCATTCACGGTAATTAACCAAAATTAAGTTAATGGCACACCGCTAGTTTCCCAAATAAAGCTACATCTCGCCGCATTAAAACCACATCAGCCTGCAAAAGTGAAATCCATCACGTCGGAGGGAACCTGGGAGGCCTCGGAGCGAGGAAAACGCCTTTAGATGGGCTCCGAAACGATCACTGATACCGGGGGTGTGCGCCAGTTGGAGTTGCAGCAATAACAAATGATCCACTTTACTGAGACTGCCAAATAGTTTCAGCTTAAAATAGATGCAATAAATCAGTTTGAAAAACCCTGGAAAAAAATAAATAAATAAAAATAAATCTGCGTTCCATGATTAGCTGCTTTTTTAAAAATTCCCCTCATCCAGAAGCTCTTTAACAGAGCCGTTACACAAAAACACAGATTTTCTGAGGCCAGAAATATAAGGCAAACAGCTCATTTTTTGTGTTATGTTATGGTTAAAATTAGGATTATTGGACTGATGTTTGAGATTTTCTTCTTGGTGAAATCTTTCTTTCACTGCTTGTTTAGAAGCGAACGCCTTCAGAGGTGGGGTGAAAGACTGAGTCTGTCTACAGGGTCATTTCATCTCTGCCTTTTGGTTTTCATCTTAACATTCCTCTTTAAGGGCAGAGAGATAGCATTCTGTTCAGCTTGTGATATCCTGTGAGAAAGAGTGACTGTCTTTTATGGATTCCAAGACTGTAGCGTTGCGTCAAACTATACTTGTCGAGCACCAATCATTTCTGACAATTTACTTTATAGGTTCCATAATGCTTTTCAATATTGTACTCAAGTTCATATCTTCTGCCCATGTTTTATTTTGCTGTTGTTTATTGGGGGAGAGAAAAAGAAATCAGGCATAAGGAGAGGAAAAAGCCAGGCTTCCCCCCCCTTCAAAATAAAGGCGGGAAAATCAATGTAGACTTCATATCTGTGTTGAAGTGTAAAAAATCAAACTTCAACATAGACGTCCAGGTTTATTCAATTAGCTGAATAAACTTAGGAGAAGCTAAGTGCGCTAAGTGTTTCCAAAGTTAGCAAATACGCTGAACCGCTAACTGAACTCCGCTAGTAGCGCTTTAGGAGACGTGTGCGCACCACTGGGAGTTTGCAGTGAAACTAGAACTGGGTAATAAATAGTTGGTGTGATCTTACTTCAGTATCTTGAGGGGAATAGAAGTGTCCTTGATGGCAACAATGACTCCACCATGGTCCAGATACAGGATGTGATGCTCCTCTTCAAACACCTTTAACAAGAAAACCTTAAGCATTGGAAATGACTTTACCAATGGAAACAATTCAGTGTTTTTCTCACGATCAGCTTCGTAAAACACAATTCTTATTTATGTATTTTTTTTAGCTTAAAAGAAACCCAAGTAAAAATCGGATATTCTATCTATCCGGGTTTCTCCTTGGAATACAAACACTAAAAAAATCAGGCAAAGCATGCTGTACCTGTCTCCATGTCTTCCCACAGTCTGAAGTGATGTACATCTCCTCCTTATACTCGACGAGTTTGGAGCCAAGGTTACCTGAGGGAAAGATGAGAAATGCAGAGCCGCATCAAGAAGAGGGGACTCCCGAAACACACCAAAGAAACAAAGTCGGAGAGAGAGAGAGGAGACACAGAGCAACAGGGCTGAGAGAGGCAGGTCTACAGAGAGCCACCACACAGAGCAATACAGCAGGATTTCTACCTCAGGCCATTTCTTATCCATTTAGTTATCTTCCCAACAAATGCGCACTACTTTCAGGTTGCATCTTAAAAATTGACAGACACCCACGTTCTAAAAATTCCATTTAAATTCCCCTCTGTTTTTCCAATAGTTTGAGTAAGTTCAGGGGAAAATAGGCTCATAAATATAAAAGAAAAAAAAACTGTTTAAATCTGAAAAGAGACGGTTCCACTCACCAGCGCCCATGATGAGGCCCGGTGCCGAGTCTTTAGTGTGGACGGTGCCAGAGACGTAGGGGTTGTCGGCCCAGCGCAGGTGGAGGTGGAGGTGGCAATCCGGCTGCAGCGGAACAACAGGAAGGACGGTAAGCTAGCATATTGTAAACTTCAACATTTCATCCGTCAACAGTAAAATTTCAGCAAAGACGGACATCTTCGCTGGGCGGTTCTGCCGTGAACAGGAAGAGAGGTCAAGCTCTGTTGACCTCAGCCTCAGGGAAACCCTTGACATTAGCTCGTCTTTAAGCTAGGTTGCGCTTTGCGGTATTTTCACCATCTGGATTTCCTTCGACATGCAGTGAGATTAACCATCTTCACGCTGAAAGCTCATTCATCTCCGGAGCCGATCTCCAACAGGTGGGAGACAAAGGATCGAGCCTTACAGTTTTTCTCTTGACTGAACCACCACATGCATCCCACACCCCCACCCGCAGCGCCGGCCGTGAGGCGCCATCACACAGGCAATATGTGTCGTGTCAGCGCTTGAAAATGAAGTCTTCTCTGTGCCTGATAGATGTGGCGACTTAAATCCAGGACAGCAGATATTTTGCCGAGCAATTTTTTTTTTGAAGTATGGGGAGAGCCCATTGTTATGACAAGGTCAGTATCAGAGATCTAACGTGTGTGTTTGTGTGTGTCTTAAAGGTAGTATACGAGCGTCAGCCTCATATCTGCACCTGCCTTCATATTTTTTATTTTATTCTTTTTAGCATATGGTTCAAATAAAGGAGAACGCTGGTGCTCCCCTCTGCCTCCCGGCCGGGTGTGATGTATGAGGCTCAGAATATACAGTTTGAGGGGAGATGTATGGCTCTTCGCTGTCTAACCTTGCGGAGCAGCGACTTTGACAAGATAGATGGCAAGAATCTCACGTGCATTCCTCATACCGCAGCACTCATCCTTTCACCCTTTGTGTTCAGTGCTGAGATGGAACGATTCGTTATCGATGTCTGTATCTGTCCCAATGTTGGGGGAAAAAAAGAAAATTCTAGATCGGGTATCGGTGACAATGTGTAGCCTTGGCCTGTATCATTCATTTAGCTAACATAACCTAGAGTATCAGCAAAAGAATCAGAAAAAAAAAAAACACAAACACACACAGACAATGAAACTTCAAAAGGTATGGCTGGCGAAGTTTGAGATATTTGCCCTGAACATGAGTTGGTGCATTGCCGTCAAAAGTTTTTAAACTGTACTTGTGACTCATACTGTATTTTAAAATATTTGATAAAGATGAAAAGTGGAGCACTTACGACTTTGCAGCTGACCGGCTTGCCGTTCATGTCCGTGGCGGGCGGGGCCAGGGGTTCCCAGGTCCGCCCCTTGTTGAAGGTGATGAGAGTCATCACTTTTCCGTCGACCTTCTGATTGGCAAGGAAGACGCCTTTCACCCCACGCACCTAGGAAACAAAGCAGATGTGCTGCATGCTGAAACATCTGGGACTCCATCTGCGAAGCAGCGCGACGATGCCTCTCTGCCTCTTTAAAGACCATTTAAGGAAAAAATAGTCCAGATTGAGGAAGCTGCGGCAGCGCAGCCCACACAAGGAAGCCTTCGTCCTCAACGCTGAGGACGAAGGCCGATTCCCGACCTGGTGACCTTTGCCGCATGTCTTCTGTCTCTCTCTCTTTAGCCACTTTCCTATCTTAGCACTTTCAAATAAAGGCCACTAGAGCCCAAAAAAATTTAAAAAGAAGATAGTTTCTAAAATATCTTCTGTATTTTTTAATCTTTTTTTAAATGGTGGTGAAGAATAGAATTAAACAAGTTTATCTGTAAACATAAAATAATAATACAGTAATATTACATATATATACTACAAATATAACAAGTGAAGCTGAATCTAGAAATTCTGCTGGAGTACCAGCCAGCATCAACAATGCAGCACAGCTAGCTATTAGCAGTGGAACAATGACGGTGCAGCATTGGAAAAATTAGCTACATTAAACAAGTTTGTTGCATAATTGAAACTAATTGACTTTGGCTATCAACGCCTAGCATGTTACAAATATTCTGTCCTTGACAACAGCTTCTTAGCTAGCGTTAAGCAGGCATGTGGGGAGATGCTGGTAATAACACACAGATCCTGAACGCCGACACAAACGGCAATTAGCTTCAGCAGCGACCCCTGTAAAACTCTTTTTCTTTTTTTTTTTGGTTTTCCCCCTGGCACTCCTTTACTGATTGGCTGCTATTTCTAATGTGATCAAAAAGTGGAAAAACAACACTATAAGCTGCCTAGACCGTTTATTAATACCGCCTCTCAAGACAAATGAGGACAAAACAATAAGTCAGATATTAAAGCCGGGAAGTGTTTTGAGTGCCAACATTTGGCCGTTTGCTCAGAGATTTACGATTGTTCGGTCATTTTATTGGGATGCCTCCCAGTTCGCTCTGCCAGTGTGTAATAAAACACACTTATTCTTACAAATGCACTACTTTACAACCTGAGTGAATATCCTAATGTCAGTACAGTAAATTTATGCCTTTAATGATGGAAAGTCTCACATTTATTCTTGCGAATATGCTGCCCTTCAGGAACCGACAACATCCGAGCTTTTGCTTTTAAATATGTGAAATTGATCTGAAGATTTCTGAAACTGGCTTGTCCATTTCCAGTTTATTTTTTCTTTTATCTTCAATTCTGTTGTGTTGCTGGCAGCGGGAATCTGGTTCCCTAACTGGAAGCTCTTTTTGCTAAAGCTGCAACATGCAATTGCTCTTTGCAGAGTTCCAGAACTTTTGTTGTTTTAGAACACTATTACGGTACGTAGCGCGCCACAGACCTTGGTCTGATCGGTGTGGGATTTCTTCGGCGTGAAAGAAAACATTGTCTTACATGTTAGGTTTATTGGGGTTTTTATTACCATTTATCTGAGGAAATCCCAAGCTGAAGCCCTGCAGCATGTATTTGGGGACAGCTTAATTCCACAAGAGCTCTGGGTAACATTTTCATCTCAGGTTGAATGTATTAAGGTACATATAAGTGATGTATTGCAGGGTAATTTCAAGTTAGCCCAGGGGCGACAAACTCATTCTCATTTTGGACCACATCGAAGATCTGAATGTTCTCAAAGGGCCGGTTGTGCCAAAATGTATTGATAAAACCCATTAAACTGATAAAATGTCATTACAATCTGTTCGTTTCAGCGTTCAATAAGTAATTCTTAAAATTATTACCAATCTTTTCAGATCTGAAAAGATTCTGATCTTCCGCCCAGGATTTCTTGATTGTTTTTTGTGTTTTTTTTGTTTGGTTTTTTTACAATCAAAATCCCAGACTCTGTGCCGCTAACTGAGAAACATCCAGTAGAACCTTTTGCAATATTTGCGCTAATGCATGATGCTAAACATGTTGTATCAATCACGGATGACAACTTGACATCAAGTAAGGCTGAGGCAGCAGCTAGGTAAACTTAATGTTTCTGGCTAATTTGGAGAGAAATTTGCTGTAAAAATTTGAAAAAAAAAATTAAAAGAAATATTGAAAACTTGATTTTGTGAGTTTTTACATATTTGTGAAAGCCCAGAGGGGCTTACTGGTGTATTTTGGAGTGCAGAGGGCCACATTAAAAGCTACGGTGGGCCAGATTCGGCCCCCCGCCCTTGAGTTTGGCACATGTGAATTAGGTGGTCCGTGAGTGTTTGTTAAATGTCTCTGAAAAAGTTTGAGGAACACGAGAACCAGGCCATAATAATAATAATAATAAATCATAAAGATCCACCTACTGTTTGAGTAACACATTAAAAATAGGTTCAGGAGACAAAAGTATATTACATTTTACTAGAACCCTCCCACTGCAAAAAAAAAAAAAAAAAACGGTCGAAAGCCTTTCCTATGATAGATAAATCCCAAGGAGACCAAGTAGCACAGCGGTGGCTCCGGGCTTTTAATGGGATTTACTGATAGTAAGATTAATGAAGGGAAGTGTAAGCGCTATCACCCTTAAATGTGGCTAAGTGGTTCGTTCACTTATAACATCATCAGATGCTCATTTTGTTGCTTAGGACTCGGGCAAACCGTCACGACGTTTCCACCGGTTCCCCGCCAATAGAACATCTGGCTTCATTTGTGCTCATAGTTGCAACTTATAGATTTAATCACTCAATTAATTATTAAGGGAGAAAGTTGAAGGAGGAAAAAAAGACAAACCAACACATTTGCCATTTGTTACGGAGCGCCTCACCTCCAGGATGTCGATGAGGACGCTCTCCTCCGGCTGCTTGGTGCTGCGGATGTTCTCCAGGATCATGGAGTAATAGACGCCCTGCGAGTCCGACTGGTACAGGTTGTACGTGTCTGACTGGTACCACTCCTGGAGGGCCAGGAACACCTGGCTCTCGTCTGTGCTCACTATCTGAACGTCCTGCAGGAGGTAGGAGGGGAGAAGAGATGTTCTTTTAAAAAAAAAAAAAAATCTACACAACAACCCCAGGTTAAAACTTTTACTCCGGACAAAGTGTTGCGCCGCAACAATTTGGAAAAAGACACTCGCTCACATTGCCCTCCAACAACGTGAGACACTCCAAGCAATAACAGATACGATTGCTCGGTAGTACGGAGGGACTAAATGGGGTCAGCTGGATGTGAACTCTGCTGTGCGCCTCCAAAAACCTTCAATATTGGTTTGACCTACGAGGTTCTGAACGATATTCCGCTGAACGCCCAGACTGAATCTGGTGCACAGTGTCTTCTTTTTTTACACACTTTTGTCCATTTGGGTTGCAAGTCCTGCGAGTCCTGCAGCCCAAATGGACGTTTTGATGAGAGAGTAAGATGACAACACAATTTTTTTTTTTTAAAGTCAACACCACCCCTTTAAATAAAATTCTAATTCAAAAAAATACTTCATTGATCCCAAAGGGAAAATAAATGTTGTTGTGACTCATATGAATTAAAATAAAAAAAAACCTTATTGGGGGCAGGAAAAAAAAAAAAGCTGAAAAGAAAATACACAAAGAAAAGCAGATATCTCACACCAATGAAACCAGTACCAGTCAACAAGAGAATTCAGCAAAAAAATAAAAAAGAAACAGTGAAGCGCTTCAAAATGTTAAAAAGCAACAACCATTTGGCAGCTAAAGCAAACTTGCTAAGTGTATTTGTCGGTGCTCCTGGGACTGTGAGGAAAACGGCTTCATCACTCATGAAATAATGTAGCAGCCACACCAGGGCGACTCAGCACTTTTTCCGTATTACTGATTACATTACCATACCGTCTGAAGACAAAACCACCAGCCTGTGGAGGGAAGCACCTCAGAGGGTGTGTGTAATCATTAACACTCTTCCGTCTTGATTATAAAGACACACTCAGGCTCAATTACCTCTGGATTTATTGTCGTTTCGAGTGACGGAAAAGCAGGAGAAAAAAAAGGTGCCCGCGCATCGATCTTCATATTCATGAAAGCAACGTTTCTGATTCAATTAGCCGGCTTTGTTGCAAATTGCGCGCGACGGGATTATGACAAAACGAGCAAACTGAGAAAAACTGTCAGCGTAAAGCGGCGTTAATGTTGAGCTCAATGAATCCATGGGAGAGTTCTGATCCCAATCCAATGCATTACTAACGCCGGTATAAACTGTTCACACTGATCAAAGGACTCATGAGGAGGACATGAATTGGCTTTAGGCATTTTTGACCTGAAAACGGAAACTAAAAAAGTATGAAATGGCGGAAAGGTTGCACTTTTGAAAGCTGAGAATTTAACGACACAAAGAGGGTCTGCTGGACGTGAACTCTGCTGAAATAAACAGAAAATGTATAAGGTTTCACGTTTTCTGAGCTCTTCATTACCACAATGACTAATAATATTAATAGTAACAATAAACAAACTTCCAAGATAAATGAAATGATCAGCAATGTCTAAGTACATGGAGTTCTTGTGGTAAGGTCACAAATTGACAACAGACTGAATTGGTGTGGAGGTTTTGCTTTGTTTCTTTTTCTGTTTCATTATTACGTTTGTCTCTATTTTCATCCCCAAACTGGTGCGATCAGTTTCCTGCAGGATGCTGGGTATTTAACGCTTCCCTGCACAGTTTTGCTTCTGTCACCTCCACCGCTTCTGGGCGATGAAAAGAAGTCGTCTGAAGTTACGCTCCTCATTATTTGCTTCGACGGATGATGATTTAAAGCAGTTTGCACGGCCCACTGTATTAAAAGTGGGGGTCAGTTATGTTTTAATCATTTTAAAGAAAGTAAGGCGAAAACATTCATCAGGTTGTAACAAGTGCTCAATAAACGCAAGTGCGGCCCCGCCCTGTCCCGCTCCTGTCAGCCACACATCCCAGAAAATTTGCTCTCGACTAGTAAATCAGCAAGCAGACATGGAATGTAATGTAATAACGGACTGGCTTATTTCTACTTTGCTTTAATGCAGTGGTTCACACACGTCCAGATGCAGTTTCTCTCAACACGTCTTATGGCCAGGAAACCAGCGGCCGTACAGTTTTTACTCCTCTAAATTGAAGCTCAGATTTACCATCCGAGGCTGACAGGAGCTGCACTTCAGGCTCAGTCGGGCCAAATTCCTTTTTTCTAGACAGTCGGATTGGGCCTGGGTTTCTGAGGCACGTTTAATAAGCTTACCGCACGTCCAGCGCAGTTAGCACGAAACGAGAAATGACGCTGCGAAAACATGGGGGTAGGTATCTGTCTGTGTTTGGTGTGTTGCCCTCCGCCTCCCTGTCCCCGCTCCGCGTTAAACGCCGCTTCACCGCGGTTCACGGCTGACATCCTGTCTCATTCAGCGGCGCGGAGCCGCAGCAGGAGGAGGCGGCGCTGAAAGGGACGCCGACCCACAGCTCCGGCTGCCTTTTGACGTTCAGTCAAGCCGCGCCGCAGAGGAGACGACGTAATCCGCCGCTGAAAAGATTTGGCGGAGGCGGCGGAGTACAGCAAACACACGCATGTGAACCCGAGAGGCTGATGCGGATCTGTGTGAATATCAGCTGTAGAAATTGTTTCGAAGTACAGTCTTGACGCCAGAAAGTTATTGAAATGGCTTTTCTTTCTACGCCGTGCTGAGGTTCAACAGCTTAAAGCTGAGACTTGTGTCAGTGTGACGCAGCAATCCTTCATCAGTTTGCTGACTCATGGCTGTAGCTATAGGCCTATATGACAAAAAAACTACTACAAGCATTTAAAAAAATGACACCATGATACATTATTTCAAAACTTTCTACACTTTTCATGAGAAAGTTTGACAGAAAAAGAGAAAAAAATCTGATGGTAAGAAGTTTGCGGTGTAAAACAGATATTTAGAACTGTTTAGAGTTTTATTAATCTTGAAGTAAATCTGCTGTCGTCACAATAAGCAATACATCGATTAATCACAATCTAATCATTTTCATTTGCATTCTTATGTAGTTAACTGTATTGTTATTATTGAAAAGCTGTCACTTTGAAAAACACTGAATATATTTCACACACAGCATAACATAGCTAGTTTGCATTTTTATTATTCTCATAATTTTTTATTTTTATAAAAGTCCTGACTGGCAGTTTTGCATGATTTCGCTTCCAGAGCATAAAAATCCACTTTGTTTTGTTGAGACTTTATGATCCATTTTAATTGTTTGTTGTTTTGGTTGTCTAGCTTCTTTATTTTAGATATATTTTAAACATCTAATGGTCTCTCAGAGTAAAATTTACTGATCTGAGAATGTGTCTTTGAAATAGCCTGCCTTCATCGTTATATTGTTGAAAATGTTTTCAAAATGACAGTATTATTGTTTCTCGTAATGACTTCTGGGACAATTTATCGCCCAGCAAAACATGCTATTGCAACTCCCCTAAATGTCGTGAAGAAAAGCCGTCTATCTGTCTGTCTGTCTGTCTGTCTGTCTGTCTGTCTGTCTGTCTGTCTGTCTGTCTGTCTGTCTGTCTGTCTGTCTCTCTGTCTGTCTGTCTGTCTGTCTGTCTGTCTATCTATCTATCTATCTATCTATCTATCTATCTATCTATCTATCTATCTATCTATCTATCTATCTATCTATCTATCTATCTATCTATCTATCTGTCTGTCTGTCTGTCCTCTGCTCACTATTTCAGTCAGTTGCTCTCAAACAGCTTCTGAAGTTCTCTGCAGCAAGGCGATCAGTGGGAAGGATTAGAGCCTCAGCAGGAACATCTGGGTTTAGTTCTGGGCTCCCAGTCTCACAGCTTCCTGGTCTGCATCATCACAACAACTCGCGCCGGGAAGATTTGTTTTTAGATTTGACAGCACCCACCACCGCCACCTCCCAGCCAATCAGCTGTCACAGCCGGATGGACGGCGACAATCCGTTCACTCAACTTCCTTTCTCGAGATGAAACTCTGACTTTTCTTTCTTTTCTTTTTTTTTTATTGCGACGCATTTTATAGTTGAAAAAGCAATTGTATATGCAGCCTAAAGGCTCCCCGGTCTTTCTTGGTTTTATCAAAAAGTCACTGACCTTTAAACGTTTTTGTTTTTTTTTTCCTTGCTGCATTCCAGACTAAATCCACAATTATTCTGAAATATCATTAATTATAATCTCTAGCAAAACCAGCTTATCTATTATTTTTTTTCCAAAATAAACTTTTTTTTTTTTTGGCGTTAGGAATGACCTTAAAAACAGTTAAGTGAATAATATGAATGTCAGTATGTTATCAGTGCTAATTACAGAGCAGTCATAGTTTGGTAGCTTTTAATCTAATAAAGTAAGATTACGTTTTGCTTTTCTGGAAGTCTGTTAAGTGTTTTTTTTGTGAACTTAACGGAATGAATTAGATTTGAACTGAACCTGATGGCTTTTTATTTCTGGATCGCTGAGACGGACTTAAAGCCGACTGACTATAAGGAGACGCCAGGAGCTCAGATCATCTCGCCTCATTTGGGTTTCAGCACCGATTTGCAGATGTTCCAAAATTAGAAACATCACATCGTGAAGCCTGAGTTGCTCTCGACATTCAAAATGGTGTCACAAAAACAGAAATAATGCAGCAAGCAGGACTTCAAAGTTTGGTTCTCCGGGTCTGTGCACTGCCCCGCCCCCGTCGTTTCCAGCCAATGGGAGCAATGGCCGACACCCGAATGGCTTTGGCTATAAACCGAAACACACCAAACTAGCAAACAACCACTTTGCTAGTTTGTTCCACTTCTTTTCCGGACCAACCAAGTGGACCAAAAGTCTTTCCCGGTCTGAATCAGGTGCATTTTGTGTTGGCCAACCATCTTGGAAAAAGACTCTTCAACCCCAGGACAATTTATCAAGACTGATCAGTGTGAACAACCTTCCAACTGCAACTGCTGAAATATTAAACCTCTTTTCTACTGTTCCAGGTTTCTGATTGCTCTTGGATAAACAAACCAGGAGAAGAAAAAACAAAAACAAAAAAGGTCGGCCTTCAAAAGAAGCGATTGTAAGCCGAGCAGAAAAGGGACAATTACTGCCTGTGATTTCACAGCCCAACAAATTCAGTGCATGTGCCTATGCGTCTGCGTGCATGTGTGTGTGTGTGTGTGTGCGTGTGCGCGCAATTAATCCATAACTCGGGTCAGGTCTCACAGGACAGAGCCAAACAGCTTTCTCTGATGGCCTCTGCATTTTTTTTTTCATTCCCCGAGCTTTTCAATTATTCACAGCAGAAAAACAGCAAAACACTGCACCCCCTTCCTGCCCTCCTTACAGAAACACACACACACCCTCCTAATCTCCTTCCTTCAATATCTCTCCTCAGGCCCCCGTGTCACTGCCAACACCTTGCCCCATGTCGCTCTACCTAAAAGCTTTGCAAACTGTGACCTATCTGCTCACCCAAGTAAGAGGACACATGCAGAGAGAGGCGAGACGAGGCACAGGGAGCAACTAGGGCGTGTTTTGACTAAACACACACTCTCACACACAGGCGTCCGTATGCCGACGCTCATGCATAAAGTGATTTATCCACCGCCTCCCATCCACACCTAATCAAATTTGATGTTTTTGTGTGTGTGTGTGCAAGCGCATAGGTGCTTGAAGGCAAAAAGGATTGTGTGCACGCAATTCAATCCCTTTCACCTTCTTTAAGGATCAGTGAGTGCTGCAGAGATAGCAGCCAAACCACAGGGACGTTGTAAGTAAGGGAGCTGGAGTCAGATGAAGGCGCCTGTATACGACGACCGACTCCGAGGAGTCCCTTCAATTGACAGACGATTGAAGGGACGATTCTAAACGCTGAAAAATACATGAAGCTCCCCCCCCCCGAGCTCTGTGTGTCATCAGCATAGGTCAATAACACTTTGACTGGTGTTGCCTTAAAACAGCCCCCTGTGCCGCTTCAGCTGACAGCAAAGGTTCCCGTCCGACCTTGGGCCGAAGACAAAGTCGTTTATCGTCTTTTACCGCGGCAGTGACATGACGCACAGGTGGATTGATGTGCGAGTGGGAATATTTTATGCGGCGTATTATTTGTCAGGCCGGTGCCGTAATCTATCTGAGGGGCAAGTGCTACGCTGACACCCAACGCCGATGAGTTTGTATAAGACGGTGGTGAGACTGATTCCCCAATGCAGGCGGGAATCCCCGGAGAAAAGGGTTTGGATATTTCTCTCTCGGTCTTCTGCACAAGCCTTAGCAAAAGAATAGTTTTCCAATTTTTGTCCAATGGCCTTGCCCGACATCTACGCACACCATAGAGAAAATCTCTAAATTCAGAAATATATAACAAGTAAGAAATAGGAAAGAACTGAAACATACAGGATGTTGGCCGTCGAGGACCGACTTTGGGCACCACTTTTCTATTCCAATAATCCTTAAAGAGTCACTAAGATGTCTTTAAGGATGAAGGACAAAAATAAATTTGACTTTGTGCGTATGCTTAGTAAGATTCCACTACAATTAGAGACTGTACTAAAAAGGAAACCTAATAGGAAACGAGTAGTCATCCCTGAGGATCACCAGAAGTAACAGAGGCAACTCATAGATTGACACGAGAGCTTAGAGTTACATCAGCTTTGCTGCTCTTTACCTTCGGCAAGGCGTACTTGGGAAATCTCATCTGGACGAACTCATTGCGCCGATAGGACACATAGTGCTTGGTGCGATTACCTGTTGTGACCTATTGAGACAAAACGAGAAAAAGACACTAAATGGAAGCATCAGTTCAGAACATTGCAAAAATATTTTAGATAAATGTGACATTTAGTTAGAGACATTATATCTAATAACATAGGACTTTCTTAATTTACTTTCTTTTAAATTTAGGCTTTAAAAGACTTGGTATTCTGTGGAGGTATATTTCCAAGATTTCCACAAAATCCCAGTCGCGCTGCCCTCCAGCTGAACCTGACTTCACCAACACAGCTGCAGAGGAAGCTTCATAAAAGCCTTGAGACTGACGGCAGACTGAAGCCGAATATCGAACATGAGAGGTTCACCTACCACTGCACTTTTTGCTCATCACCGGTCAGCTTCCTTTATATTTTTGGCTAACAGTAAATCTTTCAAAATCCTTTCTGAATCTGATGGATAATTAATTGCTTTTGAAAGCATCTATTAATGGGGAATTTATTTCTTTCTTTCCGCTCTTGTTTGAGCAAATCTGAATTTTTGTCAGCTCGTTTAGGAGCTGCGCAGAGAGGCACTGGCTTTGATTGAAGAGAGCAGACGAGCATGGGAATGTGCTTAAATGCTAACGAGCGATCTGACAAGAAAAGAGGAAAAGAAAAAGTGATGAAACCAACCGAGTTTTTAAAACAGAATCGGCGAAAGAGACACTGACTGAACTTCTGAAGAGCAGTGGAACAATTAAGTGTAACTGGACTTTATCCTCAGCTTTTGACAGGATATGTCTGTTTTACTCGTCTTTCTCTTAGCAGAAGTAGGCTTCTTTAAAGTCGCTTTTTAAGAGTATGACATAATGTACATAATTCATATGATGATTCGTACATGCCTATGAATATTTGTGATCGGCATCTAATACTAAAAGGCTGCTCTGTAACTCTGTGAGTTACTTTCATATTGTGTTGTAAATAAAACAGATGCTCACTGTGATGCAATTATTATTATTTTTTACTTAATCAAATGAAAAAATCTGGAGGCTAATTAAGCGTCTTGGGCTCCTTTGTTGCTCTGGTCTCTCTGTTCATTAAGGCAAGTAATTGTTAATTATATGCCATTATCGTATATACAATCACAAAGCTAAAACCCAACACAACTAGGTTAGGCTAGAAGTAATAAAAATAATTCAGCAAGTAGAAAAACATTAGAAACCTCTAGAATTTAATTAACTCTGTGTAAAAAGAAAAATTCCCAGTAAGTTTTAAAAACTCAAACGCCATCATGAAAGGAGTAAAGAGGAAAACTAAGGAAATCACAGAGCTCTGGCTTGTTGACCTTCATCAATGCGTCATAATTACATGATTGTTCTTAGATATAAGGATCTTGTTTCTTCAAAGCTCTGAAGGTTAAAAGAAGAGATGCAAAATGGATTCTATAACCAGATATGATCAAGCTCTTTTTCATGAAAAAGAATCAATATCTTATTAAAGTAGCCCTGCTAACAGTTTAGAGTAATGACCGAGGAATACCAAGTCAAAACTACAAAGAAACTAGCAGCTTTCATGGTTTTTATTTATTATAATTTCTATATTGGAACTTCACAGGTCCCAATACTCGACCTTGAGGAACCCCTCACATCAGATCTGCTAAGTCAAATGTAAACAGATTTGCGGGAATGTTTCACTTCCTTCCAGACTGGTAAGATGTAAACATTTTGAAACTGTTGTGGACCATCAAGTAAACTTATTAAGATTATCATTCATAACCCTGTGGTCAACTTTATTCAATGTAGATTAAAAATCTAACAGAATTAAAAAAACACCGACTGAGGAGTACCTCCTACTAAGACCTGATTGGAATTTCTCTAGTAAATCGGATGTGAATCAGTTGTGGAGCTCGTATTGTTCAAATGTCCATAAAGATCAAAAGTATGCCAAGGGAAGAAGCAGAGGACGTCCAACACTTACCAAAATATTGTGTTCTACGTTTCTTTTGACCACATTCTTAACGAGAATCATTAAAAATAATGATTCTCTTCAGAATCATTATTTTTCTTTAGGAGAATTTAAAGGATACATTTAAAAACTTGTTTTCTCAGTTCCCAATTTTCAATAAGCTCCATTTTATCTGCACATGTCCATTAATATGGTAGAGGTGGGTGAGTGATACTGGGAGAAGTGGGAGAATTCCTGAAGAATAACTATACATGACATTGCTGCCCTAGGCATTTCATTCACTCTAACAAGTAATAACAAAAGTGAAAGCCGCAAGCACACGTTTACACGCATTCATCCACATACGACGCGATACACACAGAGTCGGAGCACAACCCAACAGTATATGACTAATTCATCTCATTACAAGGACTCTGCTCTGCCGTGCCACATGTATATCTTCCTGTTATCGCATGCAAATGGGATTCAGTTATCGGGCTTTGCATGCTCTAGTATACTGTACTGCATAGCAAGTCTATTACAGAGGAAATTAATTCAGCACACAATCCCAGAATAGCAATTCTTTTTCGATTTTATGCACACCGCAGTGCATGAAGAGTTATCTGGACAGGAAGAATTTATCTAGAGGAAAAACTGTCTGAAAGTTAGAGGCTTACCTCTGAAGGCAAACACAGTTACTAATAAAATAAATACATGTCTTGTCTGATGTGTCTTATCAGCATTTAGTTATTTGAAACAAAGATGGCTACATTCATATTAATTTGTTAGTGAACAAATTAATATGAATACAGGTAATGCTGCTTTAACTGAGAGAAAACAAAATCTTACTAAGTGTTTTAGCTCAAGGTTCCAGTGCAAATATATTGGTACGCTTAAAATAAGACACAACTAGCTTACAAGTAACTTTTCAGCAAGAAGTACAAGCTTTTTTTAAGTCAACAATTCCTTTATATTGGTGAAAAACTACTAGTTCCACTATATTTCACTTTTAAAATGGAAAACATGTCTTGTTGTAGACCAATCCTTCAGTGGCCATAATTACCTTTACAAATATGTAGTCGTCTTGCACCAGCAGCGAATTGTGATCAATTCTACCCAGAAACTGGGCGGTCAGCATTTTGTCCGAACAGTTCTGGATGAGGCAGGTAACGTAGAGGTGACCTGCGGAGAGACATGAAGGGACAGGGCGGAAACACTGGTTACCGTTTGAAAATAAAAACAGCTCTCTGTCCTTTCTGTGTCCATTTTGAATATTTAGCCAACCATTATTATTATTAATATTATTGGGTATTCCATAGTGATTCAGACTGTTCACTGTATTTGTGGACTCAGCAATTTGCTGAAACAAAAATCCAAATTATTCATGGAAACTTTCATGAATAATTGTTGTTCTTAAAAATCCACTCTGGATTTTAATAATTTTTTGTCTTAGTAAAAAAATTGCAACTTGACACGCTATTGGCTGGCATTTTCAGCGCAGCCAATCAAAAAGCGCCACTCGTTTTTCTTACAGTCAATTGGCTGTACTTCCAAGGAAGACAGGAAATGTTTGCGTCTGTGCCACGGCAGTTTCCACTGAGCCCATTTTTGATATTTAAAACATAAAACAAACTCTAGATGCCCCACAAGTAGCCATTTAAGTGATGTTAAATGAGCAAAACAAAGATGAAGGAATAATAGTAAAACTTCAGCTTTCACTGTAGACCTGCCACACAAAAAGCAGAGGAGGCTGCACGCAGCGTGACGCAAAAATGAAAGTGTGTTAGAGTTGGGAAAGAAAAGGAAATTGAGACATCTCTTTTGTCCAAACACCATAAGATCTGGCAGCTTCTCCATGGAAATTGGCCGCTCCAGCGTCCAAATGGCCGGGGGAGCTAATCCTCACAGACAGACACAGCGAGGTTAGCACCTGTTGCAGAGCTCACCCACTGCTGAATTTCAATCCAGCAGCTGCATCAGCAATATCAACACATTATCCTACTCAGAGGCCGGGACAAGCTGGCAACAGAGAAAAAAATTTGAATAACACACACATAAAAAGTAGCATACTACCCCATTCTAAGTCTTCATGCACCCACACAGATGTGAGGTTTGGAGTTCACATGTACAATGTTACATTTCAATGGGATGGATGAGTCTGGACCTCCGACCTCTGCAGTGGGAGGAAAGCTTTCAACACATTCAGCCACTGATATGAGTCTTTTCCTATCAAAGTTACAGACATTCTTGAAACTTCATGTTGTCAGTTTGAAATTGTTCGTCTCGCATTTAATTTCTGTACACGTGTAAGCCGAATAAAAGGCCAAACTGAATTTGCTTCAGGGTGATGAACTTGTCGTTCAGCCGCCTCCAGGTGTTCATGAGTCAGATGTATGTTTTCATTCATGACTCTGATACTGCAGAAGCACAGACTCTGTGCCAAACGAACTTTGTGTAGCTTCCCCTGACGTCCACATTGGAACATAGCACTAAGAACGAAAATGAGATGTTTAAAATGGCTTTCCAGGGTGGATTTGTAAGAACAACCCTTCCTGGAGTAATTTTTGTAAACTTAATCTCTAGAGTGAAAAAAGAAATTATTACATAGAAGAAGTGATAGTTTTTGTACCTGGATAACTTTGAAAAACAAAACAACAACAAAAAAAGTAGCTTTACTCTGTCATACTTTTGCTTTTATCGAGTAATATTACTATGAATTATCACATCTCTTACTTGAGAAAGCAAAAGTGAAACAAATATTAGCCAAAAATCCATCAGAGATGGATTTTCTATCAAATGTTATTTTCTATCTGCTGAGAGCAGCACATACTAGGCTAAGCTAGCCGCGAAGTAGACTCTCCGTTTGATGCTAGTACTTAATGTCAGCATTATCTCCACCTGCTGGTGGATTGTAGGTATTACAGTGCCTTCCCGCCTTTTTTTTCTGGAAGGTTCTCTTTGGTTCTCCGACCTCCTCCATTAAGGGAACGTATACTTTGATGGTGACATCTTATATTGTGTGACAGCATTGTTCCTCAGAGGAATAAAAGCATTAGAAAGGACAATGAGAGTAATGACTTTAGCTCTGGGGCGAAAAAAAAAAAAAAAAAAGTCCACATTGCGTTACCTAGTCACCCTCTCTTTATTGGCACTGTACCCTGCCCTCCCCCCTGAGACACTGGAGAGGTGTCCGCTGTAACAAATGGAGTGGCTAATTTATTGAAAAGCCCAGACATTTAATCAAAGCAGCATATGGCGAAGAACTCATTAAAAAACTATTACGGCGGGCTAAGTGTTCAATTCCGGCTAGTGGCTCGTGCACTTCCTTGTGCCTCTTTTTCCACATCTGCAAGCGCGCTCACGTTCGGTAATGAGCATGCGTGTTTATTCTTCCACAAAGCAGCTGAGGTATTGTCCCAAGGAAAACTGTAAGAGGACAAGTAAACAAGATTTCAGTTTTTTTTGTCTCATAAACTGGCTGTTTGAAAATCTAGACTTCAGGGAAATGTGTGTTTGTGTAGGTGTCTCTGTGTGAGTCGGCGTTTCTCAGCCTGTATGCATCTACACATGCTTCCCTGCACATAAGTCTCCCTAGTCACACACACACACACACGGTCATTCTCCATGGAAGCCCCCGTTGCACGCAAGGCTCATGCGTCAATCGATTGGCGTCAATCTTTTCTGGAGTCCCATGCTCTCTCGCCACCCAGAGGCCCAGAGCGACGAAAGGCCTCAGTTCCTCGTCTCACAGAAATCCCCTCGACTCCGCGTCCTTCGCTGTCGCTCGCCATTTAACCTTGGCGCCGCGTGTGACGAGGGGTGGACTGAACAGAATGGTTTTGCACGCCTGGTTGCCCCCGGCCCTGCTTTTGACTGGGCATCTATCTGGGCACCGAATGGAGGGGATCGAAAAAGAGAGAGGCAGGAGGAGCATGTGGTCCCAGGAAGCGCTCCCATGCCTGGGCACCCGGCCCACGCAGACGTCCCCTTCCTCTTCGCACTCGCCGAAGACAGGAGGTCCCTGTTCAGGCCTAAAGATTTCACAGCTCTTTCCTCGAGAGGTTTTGGCCTTTGAGAGGTGTTTCATGAAGAAACAGTCAGCGGTGCCAATTTAAAAACAGGTTTTTCATGCCCTTTGACTGTGATTCACAATGAACCCTCATTTATAGGTGAAGGGTTATTTAAGTAACGGATAAACACAAGTGGACATTTACAATCTCACATGTATGCTTCCATGTTTGCCCTCACAGAGGAGATCAGGAACTGATCTCTGAGGAGGTACGCTTGAGCCACACGTACTCTGCTGCCTTTCTTTTGAAATGCCATTTTGTCTAAGGAAAAAAAAATAAAAATCTCCTCGCCTACCTGATCAGTAGGATTTTCAAGGAGAAATATCAAAATGCCCACACCGTGGGAGAAATTTAAGACACCATTGTCATTGTCATGGCTACAAGGTTTTATACATACAGTAAAAAAAAAAAAAACACTGAAACTTATGTTTTCATTCACAGGGTTACGTTATTTCTTCTGCTTCTCAAACATTTGTCCTTGATCCGTATTCGTCAATGTTTTTTCCAGAAATGTTTTTAAAGATTCTGTCATTTTCCTCAACCAAACACACATTTTCCACACAAACCAAAGCATCTGAAAGAGTTTGTTTTTTATCGTGGTGCAAAACCTGAATGTTCGGCCATTGAAGGGAGGACAGTGTTCCCACTGCCAGTTGGCCTTTCATTGGGCAGACGGGGTTAAAAGCCAAACGCCTGATTCATACGCTATAAAAGATCCACCATGTCTCACAAAAACGTCGCAAGCAGTGGTGTTTTTCTGTTCTCCGATCAACGGACGGTGTTGTGTGACGTCAAAAACATTACTATCCTAAACCATTTCCCTGTGAAGCTACAACTGGAGGAAATGTGAGGTATGGTTTGGCTGCATGAGCTGCTTGTACAATTAAACACACAAAACGGCGTACTGGAACATATCAACCTGCGACGTGCTGTGAAGTGGAACTGACGCATTGGTTTCTTTGACCTTGACACACTAATAAATAAAAGAACCTTCACAGTACCTCCACTCGAGTCTTGCATTTCCATGTGCACCAGATCAGGATCCAAATCCACACCAGACACAGACCTAAAAACACACAGAGGATTTCCATTATTATGAAATGTTTCTGATCGTTTGGTTTGTTAACAGATCTTCATTCAGATACTTTATGTATGCACAGTATCAAAGTCCGATTTTTTGCAGACCGGTGAATACTGATGCAGTGCCAGGTCACATTAACACCACTCTTTGGTGTGAACGTCATTATTGAAAGAAGCGAACAAAATGAATGAGTTGGGTGTAGCGATAGTTCACTTTGGAAATCAGCGAGTTAAATACATAGTGAAAACACAGTGCTGTTTAGAGCTAGTAATGCTAACCACGCAAATGGCATGAATCTATAACACAAGACACTGAAGACATTATCACTGAATTACAGTCATTTTATGTTGAAACTGGGTATTTTTCAGACCAGCTGTAACTAAAGAGAGCGACGCATCGCTGAATACAAAACACTCCAGTTTCCTGTCAACAATAAAAAAAAAAAAGAAAAAAAAAAGAAAGGGTTTTTTCTTATGCAGAAAATAAAACAGGCTTGTGTATTTTGTCAACACAATTTTCAGAAAGATTGAAAACCTAATGGAACAGTTGCCACCTTGGCAATTTGAGACCTCATTTTCTGCTGCTGTGTTGTGATTTTATCTCAAAAAGCAATGGCAAATCAATTAAAACCTTCTGAAATTATTTTTTTAAGTATATTTCTTGTAATAGTATAAATAACAACCCTTTGAATTTTGGTTACGACTACAGTTCTTTTATTTTTAACTTGAGAAGCAGACACATCCTCAGTTAATGGTCGATAAGTGTAACGCAAATAATCTGCCAGGGTTCCTGCATCCTTGTGAAACTGCAAATCATTTATGTTACGGCCTGCTACTTAATCTTAAATTTATAGGAGGTGCTGTGTTTTTATTGCACAAAGTTGTGCCTTTTTATCAAAGCGCTACTGACCAGTAGACTCTGTCCTTGGTCACCCTCTCTTGAAGTAAAGTCCACTTGCGGCCCAGATCGGTTGAAGCGAAGAGCTGGAGACAAGAACACGGTGAGAGAGAAAAACCCAACACTCGGTGCGTTTAGCTTTAATCATGGCCATAACCGGTAGCTTATTACCAGCTGGATCACTCACAATGGAGGTTCAATTGATGGGATGGAATATGAAAAAAAAAAAAAAAAGTCACCCAATCAAGCTACGGAATTTCATGGTTCACCAAGTCAAGATTGAGCTCAATTAATTATTAATCATAACAGGTGAGGACTGCAAAGTGCATGTGTGGTGTGTGTGTGTGTGTGTGTGTGTGTTTGAAGCTTCTTGAGCTATGCTCAGGACAGTGTATTGGTAGTAATATGCGGGTTGGTTGAACCATTGATCGCAGCTATAATGAAATTCTATCGATTTTCATACTCTCCTTGATATCTAAAAAATATATAATTAAAGTCAGAAAAGGTTCTGAGAACAGACCTCTCTCTTTGTCGTGCGACTTTTGACAAAGATTTACTGCCGTTTCATTAAACCTCACCTTTTTTTTTTCCTACCCTCATTTCTCATAATCACCTGAACGTGTGAATTATCCTTTGTGAAATATGTCGTCACTAAAGGCCCTGCCTGTTAAAAATTTAAAGCTCTGAGAATAAAAGCTCAAGAAGCCTGGGTCTTTTTTTTTGTGGCATACTTAAGACTTTATTTACCCAGGTAAAATGTAAAGAGGACTGAAGTTTGAAAACACTGTGGAAACAAAAAAACTGGATGCTTTCAATGGGAAGAAACTACTTCACAGTGTTGGTGGCTGAAGTCTAGACTGAAGTGGTTGGTGTGATGAACCTTATTCACGACGTTTCCAGATGCTTCAGAGGTGAAATCAGAAATTTACCAAGTCTTAACTCCAGTAGGTGAGACTCAAAAGTTACTGCGATAGGCGACAATATTGTAGTTTTGAGACCATTTTCAAGTCATTAATTGGTGACGCCGCAGTGACGCAAGTACAGCCTCTCAAAGATCAATAAACTTTAACTTCTAATGAACATTTCACATTGGAGCTGGAAGACATTTTAAATATCCAAACTAAATAAATAAAACAACAAATAAAACAGACACTGAAGTTTCTGTAAGCAGAACTGTCCTTCAAAATCATGGCTTGTTGAGACCAGACTGAAGACTTAGGCCATCCATTCTTAATTAAAAATTATTGTAACGAGAAAATATTTTTTTTCTTTGCATCCCCTTTAAATAAGTCAAATCTACATTGTGTGAAAATTGTACTGGCAAGGACTGGCGATCTAAATCAGCTTTGTACGTCAAGTGCTTACACGTCTGAAAAGAATTTTAACTCCGGTTTCACAATGAAGACACGGCGACGATAATTCGTTCCTTATGAACTTAGAACGACCGAACGTCATAAATTGTACAAGTCAGCCTGTGATATCACAAGGCACAATTAGCATGACACAAGGTCTCAATTATAGACGAGCGCAGAGACTTTCACACAGATGGCTTGTGCGGCGCGGTCGTTGAGCGACTGCAATGCCTCCTGGCTACAAAGACTACGAAACTAAAACAGCATCTGAAGACGTTTTCAGAGACATGAAGCCACATTATTATCAAGCTGTGGAAGTGTGTGTGTACATTCATTAAGAAGCACCTGAGGATCCCTCCCTGCCCTATATCTGTCACCATTAAATAGCCGGTTTTAAGGCTCGCACTGTAACTGACAATTTCCCTCTAATGAGAACGCGAGACTTTGAAGTTGCATGAGAACACAGCGCATTGTCTTGCATTTGGAGACGCCCTCTACGCCTGAGTTACTTCCATAATAATTGTCAATTCAATAAGTGCTGCTCACTTCTAGTTCGTCTCCCAAGGAGGAAGTTTATATAATCAGGCCAAATGTTAGAAAATTAACAGCGCGCCAGTCTGTCCGCTGCTCATATTTTCTTGTTCTAGCAGCGTTCCCACCACGCTGTGAACAAGAACAGCCATGTAGCAAACGCTCAGTTGCCAAGTCCATGACAGAGACACTAATAAGATGGATTTTCGAATCGGGGACAGACTTGGTGTATTTGAAACAGAAAGTCTCAGAGTCCCTCGTCCCTCACCCGTCCATCCTTGCAGTACACCAGCAGCTTGTCTTCCTCCTTCGGGTGGAAGATGACGGTCTCTGGTGTGAAGGCGACCGCCTGCCGTTGGAAGGAGGAGCCCTCATCTGTGCTGATGAAGAGCATCTGGTCTCGTTCGTTGATGGATGAGCCCACCATGACCACCTGAAAGACCGAAGGCAAAAGAGAGGTCAGAAATCAAACGCCTGGATGAGTAATGTTGCGCAATGGTGATGTTCAGATTGGGGGCCGCCAGAGGGCGCTGTGGGGTGGTCACAGGAAGTTGGACAGACATTTCAAAACAGAAAAAAAAAAAACTTATAAATCCTTTTTAACTTAACTTTTTTTAAGCATAATTTATTTAGTTTCTATGTTCAATTTTTGTGAAATAACATGTAAGTTAAAATAATTTATTTAAATATTCTTGTTTGTTTTGTTACACATAAACCAACAAATCAGTGCGTGTGTTAGAAACCCAAACCAGTTTTCACCCACAGCCTTTCTCGGGGAAAAAAGTCAGTTTTGGAAGTTAGACAAGCAATGTAAAGACAAACTGTAGAATCTGGTAAAAAAAATTCACAATATCTTAACTGATAATTAGATTTTCTACCACAGAAATCACAGCCGTCAGCATGAGGCACCATTTATGCTGAATGAGTGTAGCAATTGTTGAACAGCAAATGTAAAACATCCTAAATGTTGACGCATCTTTACATATTCTGTAGCAGAGTTGTGCATATCATCTCCCACACAAATGTGCATCTTCACGCTTACATTCACCCAGCCATTTTATAAACCTCAAATTTTTTTAATTTTCTTTTTTTGTTAAATCAACTTCAGAAGCGGACGACCTTGGATTGATTATCTATTTAGAGTTTTATAGCTCACAAAGAGAAAGCACTAAACACAGGCCAGACCAGGACCTGCCAAACCACCAATCACATTTATGAGCCATTTAAAGCTACCAATAGCAGAAATCAATAGGAGTTAATGAGCCAGGACCATTCATGCACCGCATAAGAGCAGCGGGACGCTGACCAACGAGGGTTTGTCGGTGTGAATTATAATCCAGACTTTCAATCCACAACACCAGAGCATATTTTATTCAATGTGTGTTTGCTGTCAGATGAAGTAATGCAAAGTGGCAAAGGAAGCATGTTAACATGAAACAATTCAAAAGGTTTTAAATCAGTGAATATGGTTGTTGTACGTGAATGGAACTCAGTATGCCTGTACACTACAAATATCATTGACTCAGCAACATTCAGACACCAACAAGTAGATCAGATTAAACAATTGGTGCGCAAGATAATATTGACGTGCGGTACAAAAAGAAGGCATCCAATTTCAAGACTTCTAAAGTCAACCACGGCTGCTTGACTGCAAATAAGTAAGAACCATGGACAAATTTAATGGATTGGAATCTGGGAAGGGAAAGGTTATGTCACATTTTTGATTAAGTGTCATTAAGGCTATGAGTGTGAAAATGTAACAACGTGCACAATTAAAACTGGAAATCTATATTTACCAAAATAAAAAAAAGACAAAAACCTTTTTATCTCAACTTCTGAAGTTGTATCAGCAAGTCCAGTTAGCATTAGCTAAATCATGACTTCAGAAACTTCTGAGTTAGTTGGAGGCAGACCTGTGGATGTATTTTGAGACCAAACCTGGAACACTCTGCATTCTTGTTTGACCCAATGGGGAAGTCTGTAGAAATCAGCCAAGATATCAGGAAGAGAATTGTGCAGCTGCACAAGCCTGAATCATCCATGACAACTATTCACCGACGCTTGAAGGCACCACATTCTTTTTAAACAATTATAAGCGGGTATAAACATGATGCGACGTCCAACCCTCATACCGCACAGGAATGAGGCAGGTTCTGTGTCTTAAATGTCCAGGTAGTCACCAAGGTCTTCACAAGTCAAAGACCTTGTGAAGATGCTGGAGAAACTGGTGAGACAGCATCATTATCCACAGAGAAACTTGATTTGTCTGACATGGGTTGAAAGGCTGTTCGGCAAGGAACATGCCTCCACCCCAAAACAATGAACAAAACACCAAATCGCAGTTCGCAAACACAGACCCTCATTTTCAGAGACATGTCCTGTGGTCTGATGACACCAAAATGGAGCTGTTTGGCCATGATGACCATTGTTACATTTGGAGGAAAAACAGGGATGAGAAAATAATTCCAACAAATGGCATCATGATGAAAAAACACTATGGAAAGGCTTAAGACATCAACCAGGAAGATGGAACTTGGGCCCAGGTTGGTGTTCCAAATGGACAATGACCCTGGCTGCACAACCAAAAAGGTTACGAAGTGGTTTAAGGACAACAAGGTCAATGTGTCAAATCACAAACCCTGGTCTTAGTCCTAGATAGATCCTGTAGGCAGATCTGAAAAGGCATCTGGAAACAAAGCGGACTACAAACCTGACTAAGTTCTGTAAGGAGGAATGGACCACAACTTCATCTAACTACTATTGAGGAAGGAAACCTAAAACATTTAACATTCAGTCCAAGGCAATCATACCAAATATCATAGAAGTGTATGCAAATTTCAGATTTTGAAGATATTAATAAATCAACTGCTACATTTAATGGTCACCTATCTGTGAATTAGAATAGAATAGGATAGAATAGATTATCGTCTAAAGACGATTGTTTGAATTACTGAAACTGTTGAAATCAATTGTTAAGAGGGTATTTGGAATTGAAAACAAGAACAACCTTTTTTTGTGTGTGTTGGAACTTTATCCCTCTGGGTTTTTGGGTTGAGAGACTTTATGAGATTTAATTATCAGTATGCTTTGTGATTTTTACCAAACGACTAAAACACTTGGACTACCGGAATCTGAAACTTGGTATCATAGTTAAAAATGGGAGCTTTGTTCAGAAAACAAAAATAACTAAACAGTCCTCCAAGAATCCTTTAATGTTATTTTCTTCCTAATGACATTCATTTATAAGCAAACTAAGTAAAGGCAGCCTTGTACTGCAATGTTTGAACACAACAAAGCACTTTGCCAAATTTGAATTTGCAGTTTGCCCGGCATTTCCATCCCTTTTAATCATAAAGCAGGCAGATTTATCAAAACTAATAATGTTTGTATTTATTTAATACTTTTAAAATGTTTCCCCCTCCACTCCCCTTATTCTTCTTTTTCTTTTCTGCTCTCCGTTAAGATAAAAGGTTCAACATCAAATAAGCTTTACACTTGCAATGCACTTAACTGTAAAGCAGCAGCCGCGTGCTGTTCCTATATTATATTAGAGAAATGAAATAAATTTATACGCCTAGAGACACACACGGAGCGACTAAGAGGATGCAAATTCTTTTTGGTATTCTCATCATGACTGCAATTAGGCAGCGTGTGAAGAACGTCTCACATCTTTCTGGCTGGAATTCTTAAGTGCTCTGTGTCTGTGTGTGTGTGTGCTTGTGTGTTTGTCTGTAATGCCTTGTGGGGACCATTTTCCTGACACTACATTGTGGGGACCCACTGCTCCTGGTCCCATAAGGGGAAACACTGTTTTTGGGTTAGGGGTTAGATTTAGGACTAAAGTATAAATTGAGTAGGGCTGAAACAATTCCTCGAAGGATTTCAGTACCTCAATTATTAAAATTACTCAAGAAAAATTTATCTGCCTTGAAGGTTCGTTAAATTACGTAGCGCGCCATGTCCCGCCGGATCATTATTTGTGGTTAGCAGGCCTTTTAGTTCCACCTATGAGTTGTTTTGAAGTGCTTGCAGGATAGTGGTGAACTGTGCTGCGTTTTGTAAGGGTTTGAGGACAAATAAGGACTGTTGCATTTTTGTGGTGCGATGGATGGAGTTTCATGGTCTGGACCTTGAGCAAAAATATTTAACGGGTCCCACAGGTTTTTAACCTGCAACTGTAGCAAGATTAAATTTGGTGTGAGGCCATTTGCAGGTTTGACATGCATGAACTAATAAGATTTAGATAAGATTGTATTTACTTATTTTACAATTTTTACCCTAATATTTGACAAATAAGGTCAATTAAATGCAAAAAAGTTAAGCTCTTGTTTGACACAACCTTTGTGCTGAAAAATATATATTTTTTTATTTTAGATTTATCCAGACTTTTAAAAATACTTTTTTTTCTTCTAATAAACAAATAGCATTGTTGCAGGCAAAACAAATATTTCTGCACATTTTAAATTTTCAGATTTTAAACCATAAATGATCAAAATTGCTTCTATTTAAATTAGTGAACACAAGTACCAGAAACGGTCTGTTTTAGAACATATTTTTTGCAGTACCAGCCTTTCACAAGAAAGATGTAAGACATCTTTCTTCTGATAAATGCTTCACTCTGGTTTTTGCTTTAAGTCCTTGAAAGGCAGAAACATCCATCAGCTCAACCTGCCTCTGTCAGCATGTCCCTTTTTAAAGGACATCACTCAATTTAACCTCGGACACATGGACATTCTCAAACACAAGCGTCCTACTCCATCAGTGCACACACATACACACACATACGCACAGATCAGATCATCAGGCAAATGAACAGGGCATAAATTAGATGCATAAAACCCTGAAAACAATCAGACCTTTGAATCTGAGGGTGTTGGGGCCCAGAGAGCTCTGTGCACAAATGTGCACATATCTTTGTCGATATTCTGCTACGGTAGAATTAACACATCATCCACCACTTCCTGTTGTTTTCTTTGTTGTTGTCGTCAGTAGTAACAACCTTTCAGCTGCCTAAAATAACTGAGTTGATTACAGTAAATCAGCCGTATTTAAAAAATACTTTTTCTTTGTCATGCAGGCCAATCAAGACACTTTTCTCTAGAGCCATATTCCTCCAGTAACACTCAAAACCTCCTACACTCATGTTCAGATTGGTCCTGGCAAATTAGGCATTCGTGCCTTGCTCAGAGGCAAATATCGATATGTGGCAGGAGAAGAAGCTGGAATCAAATCCACGACCTGCTGTTTTGCGAGACGACTATGCACTCCTCATTGAGATGCAGTCTTCCCATTGCTGAGGAGATGACAAAATGATATATAGTAAAGTAGAGATCACAGAGATCCTGATCTGACAGCTTTGAAATGAATCTTTCTTCTGGAAATTAATGACTTCATCATTTCTGCAAGTCAGTTACTGCCTCAAGTAAAGTTCAT